GGCATACAATTTTGCGCACATCAGAACAAGGAATCTGGTGGAACGTTTGTTTGGAATCTGGAAGAGAGGATTTTTTTGCTTATACGAGGTGGGCTACGTATGAAGTTCATAACAAGTATGGCTGTGATATGTGCAACCGCCGTGCTCTATAATATTGGACTCTTCCATAATGACAACATCTTAGGCGAGGAATTTGATGATGCTATTGTGAATGTACTTCCTGCGGGCGATAATAATGCAGAAGGCTTGGCATTTCGGACAGTGTTAGCTCACCAACATTTTTAGTAACTGCATTTTCAACTAGCGCCTTTATAAAATTCAACTTGGATTTTGCGATTTAATAATTTTTGAATGAGTTTGCATTCTATTTCTTTGGCATGAGTTAGGAATAATAACAAAACGCATCACAGAACAGAGAACAAACAAAGAAACATTTAATATATGAAATGAACACAAAAGTGGAAAGCAACTTGAATTAAAACAAAATAGGAACGTTAGAATGCTATTTATCTAGGGAATCGCGAAGCTCTTCTTCCGCCTGGAGCAGACGAACCATAGCTAATCTGGCTTCAGCGTTCGCGGCTTCCATCCGCTTTTCGTGCAACTCCCGTTGCTGGTCAATGCCGTCTCTCATTTTTTTAATTTGCAGCTGAATTAACTCGTCGTTACAGGTACATGTGCGCTTGGATCGCATTCGCCTGTTAGACGGATGGAGTGCTTTTTGATCAATGGGTGCTGACGTAAGCTGTTCAGGCACAACCTTCATAGATGCACCTGCTGAAGGCTGACATGGTAGCACAGCTTCATCTAAAACTCAATTCAGAAAAGCTGCCTATTTGAGTATTCAATTATGAATTGCATACCCTCTGACTGGCTGCTTTCATCATTCAGTGGGGACAGTGGGGTTCGGTTATCCATCACTGCATCATTGCCCTTTGTAGCTAACGGGCTTAACAAATCTAAAAATACAGTAATAAACGATTTTCATTTAAGTAACATTCAACCTATGCACGAACTTTTTTTTTCGAAAACAGCTGTGCTGTCCCAGTCGTTCCCCAACTCAACATCTATTGCTGGAAAAGCACTCCCCGCAAAATTCGTAACGGGATCAGTAATGACCTCCTTAGGAGAACCACCTCCCGTTAACAATCTGTTTTGTCGGGCTAATGTATTCTGCTGCCTTTTTCTAAAACATTCCAGACACAGCTGTACTGCATATTTCTTCACAAAACAATATCGTTATACTTCTGTTTTATATTGTCCCAACACGGTCCCTGTTTGGGAATCGACCCACTGAGCAGTGGACACAGACTTCCCGTGCCAATCCTTGACGCGTTTCGTCCTTGTTAGGACTCATCAGAAGGACATAGGCTGAAGCTCCCTGTCCAAGCAAAATTGAACTTCGTTGACCAGTCAGAAACAACTACTCCGAGGGCAAATACCCCTACCGGCGTTGAACTACACTGATTGGTCTGAGCTTTCGTTGGCAATGAAAATTGTTAGAAAGATTTTTTTTCAGGTAATGACCAACGTGAATACAGGAACACAACGGTCACAGGGGTATTTGCCCTCGGAGTAGTTGTTTCTGACTGGTCAACGAAGTTCAATTTTGCTTGGACAGGGAGCTTCAGCCTATATCCTTCTGATGAGTCCTAACAAGGACGAAACGCGTCAAGGAATTGCACGGGAAGTCTGTGTCCACTGCTCAGTGGGTCGATTCCCAAACAGGGACCGTTGTGTTCCTGTATTCACGTTGGTCATTACCTGAAAAAAATCTTTCTAACTTTTTTAATTGTTTCACACTTTTAGTTGGAAAGCCCTGGCTAGAATAGGAACATTGAATTTTATCCCAAGCAGCCTGTTTCTCCTTCAATGATACAGCGTCTGTTTTTTTATTTTCAGCTATTACCCTGTGTTGAGCGACCATCTGGACCAGGAACATTTTTTCGGTCTCAGTATACTTTGTCGCTATAATTTTGTACATAAATTTCACACGAAAAATTACTGTTTCTAGAGCTATCTGACCTTTTTCTCATAGAATTATATATTATCAATGACAACTTAATGACAATAACAATAGACATTTCGTAGAAACCGTTGTTGCCAGTTGCAAAACCTAATACAAGGCTTCCTTCAATAAGGATGCTTTAACTCGCTACTATGAAATGCCAAAGTCGCAAACCACGAAGACGTCCTTATTCAAGGCGACCTTCAAGTCGCAAGGCGTCCTTAACTTGAGGTGTGACTGAGTATACGGGCCTGTCAAAGTTCGCAGTAAGGATATTGGCCGGTAATAAGATGGTAAATTCTTATCACCCCCCTATTAAACAAAGGTACTACCCAAGATTGCTTCAAAAATGAGGGAAAACTTCCGGTAAGAGAAGAATTAATAATGGAATCCGCCAACACATCAACAGCCTAACTGAGATATCGTCCCATCCAGAAGATTTTCTATTTTTTTTACTCAGTTTCTGAGCAATCGTACAGTAGTATGAATTAATATTATCTGCTTTCAAATTGGAAGCACATGTATATTTCTTTTTTTTTTCGTGAGTCGTTACTCTTTTTGTTTATTGGATGCGGATGCCCAACCTCTCATTGTAATAAATCTTTCTTGCCTGTTTCATCGTCTTTCTGTAGATGCTCCTGTATCCATTATTTAAAGTAGGTCATAAAAAATATATTATCAATATCAAGAGCAAACTTTCTTAAGGAATGAAGACACCTAAATTTTCTAGAAGCAATTCTTAAACCTTTTGTGATCCAAGGCTTTTTCTTTTTCGATTTTAACTTAACTAATGGAAATGCATGGTTAAAAATTTCAATATTTTCACAATGAAATGAATGCAGAGCATTTACCTTCAGCAAAATCGTTCTTCAATCAAATCTAGAGCGAACTTGTGAGAAAACAATACAAATCAAAGCACAACACTGGACGGTGGAGTTGCAACAAATAATTATTTTCACATTTTAAGGGTAGGTCCTGGGTGTCCAAGTGAAATGTAGGTAGAGCAATCTTGCCCAAACAATAGGAATTCCGTAATTGGGTAGAAACGGCCAAAAATTGAGACGCACACAATAGAAAATGAGTATTTGATTATGATCATTAATGACATTAACCTAATGACGTTATGGTTTGTGTTTGTGTCAAATGTTTGTGTGCCTCTTGTCGGCCATATTTGTGTGACGTGTTTTGGATAGTCTAATTGTAAAAGTAAGAGCTGTTTACAGTAACTATGATCGGGTTAACTCGATTATAGTTTCCGTATACCGCTAGATAAAAAAAAGTCAAAAGAGATAATGCATATATACAGCATGCAGAGGGCGCCCACGTCGCCCACAGTGCTCTAGCTCAGTTTGGTCGGATCAAAGCTCGACTCGAAGCTAATTTCTGGCTAACGAATGTTGGGCGCTACGTCATCACTGCTTGAATTTTTCACAGACATTGCAATTTGCTGCTGCTTTTGCACGCGCACTGTGTTTGACATAATTTATATTGGGTCGGTTTCTGCAGAAATCACAAACCAGTCAGAGTGAATTTCATTGGCTGAAACTAGTTTTCTGACTGTTTTCAATCAGTCAGAGCGAAGACTGATTTGTGATTTCTGCAGAAACAGACCTATTATTACTATCGATATTTGTATTGTTGATGGTTGACAAAGAGAGATGTAACACTAGCAAAAAAAAATCAGTGCTACGACAAATGATGCGTAAAACTATCGCATTTTTTTGGATTGTAAAATATGGATGGATTAAATTAGGCGCCTTCGGCGCTCTGATACTCCGGCGCCCTAGGCCGACGCCTAGTTCGCCACCCCCTAGTTGCGGCCCTGTTAGAGCGACACTTTATCTTTGCTCTTGCTGTAAAGAAACTATAAAAAACTTCCAAAAATACAAGAACTGATCCAAAAATCACGAAAACCTAGAAAAAAGAGTAGATGACATTAAATCACCAGCACAAAATGGAGCTGAGATGAAAGTAGAGCCAGCTTTATTTGAGATGAGAAAAAGAGAACGCCGCTTCAACACATACACTCTTTTTTAGCGTGGATGAAACAAACGTAGAAGACAAAAAGAAACAATAAAGTATCGAGATGAATTTAGAAATTTCAGACAGTGTCAAGGTGTAGGTACAGACAATAAGAAGTATTTAAAGCCTTTAAAAATAGAAAAATGTTGGAGGAAAAACTCTCTGATGTTTACATTAAAAATGCAATCAAACTGAGAACCAGCGCGAAAAGCTAAAGTAGATTCTTCCAAAACTGGAGAAGAAAAAAAGTGAAGGGCAGTCAAACTTATTTGATATGTAATAAAACATATCAATGGCATTCCCAAAATATTGGAAAACTCTAAAAAAAATTTATAAACTAACGAACCTATGATTTTTTCTAATTATGAACAGGAATGTCTGTCTTTAAGCTTTTATAAATATGTGAGGTTTTGTCTTTTTGCTAAAAAACTTGAAGGGAGTTTTTGTCTCTTATTTTAGTTTCATTCAATTCACAGCAAAAGTTCAAATGATAATAATTTAGAAAGCAAAGATGACTAAAGGTGTGTTAAAACTACCCTGATTTATCCTTATTCAATTGAGGCCACATTGGTCTGAAAATCTCTAATACTTTTTTTTCTACTCTAATACTTGCAAATTTCCTTTCTTAACCAATGTAACCATGTTTAGTAAAATTAATAAATTAATAATAAAAAGACAAAAACAAATTTTTTCGCAAATTCAATTATCATCAAACCAAATACGCATTTATTTGCAAGACAAAAACATAAATAATAATAATTATGTATATAGTGTGTTCTACGTTTCAGTCGTAGAAGAATTGCTGAAAAAGAAACTTGTATATCTACTGAACAGAGTATAGATTAAGTACCCAGTTTGACCAGCACTAGTGCAACAACGGCGGGAGAAGGGGGCAAGGAAAATCCTAAGGTCATCTGCTTATTTTGAACCGCTTTTAATGATAAAATTATTAAATTTTATCACACTTTGGTAAATATGTATTGAAGAGAGTGTAAAATGCGCGATATGAAGATTATGTAGTGACTGATTCAAATGTGTGTGATTTCTATTTAATTTTTTTTTAGACTAGACTTAAAGCTTTAAAAGGTGAGAATTTTTGATATTAGGAACTGGATAAATATCTTCATAATTATCAACACCATTGACGTCAAATGTTGATGATCTTGTTCATGGCCTACTTTAAAAAAAAAAAAAAAATGTCTCCCAAACTTAGTGATTTTTTCTTTCAGAAATGTCATTAATTTCATTACTCTCACTATTGTCGACGCTAGTTATCATTGTAGCATCACAAAATAACGACGCCGCCGTCTATTTCCCTGCCGAAGATGGTGTTCAGCCAATCCCCCAGACTGGACAACGGGTACGTCATAATAGCGTCATAAAACACAAACGACGTCATTGGTTTGTTTTTAGTTCCAGGCCGCCACGATAAACGTTAAAGATTTGGAAAATCTACGAGGCACTAGTAAATATGAAAAATACGTAGACGATATCATAGCCAAAGGGATATCGAGACTTACAGTGCAGCTGAATAAGTTGCTGAAAAAGCAGACGCATAATGCTGAAAATGTGCTATTTTCGCCCATAAGTATTACCAGTAAGTAACACACTTAAAAACTGAAATTTTCTTCAAACCAATAATTTCTATAGATGCTCTAGCATTGGTATTGCTTGGTTCAAATGGTATAACGTTCAAACAAATATCCGGCTTTTGGGGTCTGGCAACTGGCATTCCAGACATTGACAAAAAATCTCAAATAGTCCACGAACAGTTTTCCAGAATGCTCTACAAACTAAACAAAACTGCCGGCTTTCAGCTAGGCCAGGAAATCAATGTGGCTTCTGCGCTTTTTGTTCAGCAAGGATACCCAGTAAGAATTATTAATATTGCAAATGTGTTTTCTATAAAATTATTTGAATTTAGATTAGACCTGTCTACAGATCTACAGCCGAAGATCTCTACAGCAGCAGCATAATGAGCGTAGATTTCGAAAACAACGCTCGTTTGGCTCAAAAGGAAATTAACGATTGGGTGGCCAAGAAAACCAATCAGCGAATCAAAAGTATTTTGAATCACGAGCCATCTACTGATACTAAAGTGGTACTTACCAGCGCCCTTTACTTCAAAGCCGAGTGGGAGCATCATTTTTATGATAGAAGTACCAAAAGGTATAAGAACTTTCAACATTTTAATTTGGATTCTCGAAAACTTCATAATTGAGAGAAAGCTGAAATTTTCAGCGATTCTTATCACAGTAAATGACTACAATCCCTGAAAATTTCAGCTCATTTGCTCTTATAGTTCCTGAGATAAAATCGTGTTAAGCAAATTGGAGTGAATTATCAATTTTTCAATTTTTCTGAGTGCCTTTTTCCATAGATTTCGGCTTCAAATCTGAGAATAATTTAGTGTATGGAGTTTGGGGTATATTGATTGACCATTACGATACAAAATCTCGACAAAAAAAATTTGAAATTTCATCGTTTTAGTAAGAAGGTATTATGATTTAGATTTTAGAAAACTTTGAAAGGTCATAACTTTTTTTCTATTATAGATAGAAAGCTGAAACTTTCACTGAATTTTATCCCTTTCAAAGGACTACAATCCCTGGAAACTTCAGCTCATTTGCACTTATAGTTCCTGAGATAAAATTGTGTTAAGCAATTTGGGGTGATTTATCAATTTTTCAATTTTTCTGAGTGCCATTTTCCATAGATTTCGGCTTCAAATCTGAGAATAATTTAGTGTATGGAATTTGGGGTATGTTGATTGACCATTAGGATACAAAATCTCGACATTTTTTTTTTTTTTAAATTTCATCGTTTTAGTAAGAAGATACCTTATGATTTAGATTTTGGAAAACTTTGAAAGATTATAACTTTTTTCTATTATAGATAGAAAGCTGAAACTTTCACTGAATTTTATCCCTTTCAAAAGACTACACTCCCTGAAAATTTCAGCTCATTTGCACTTATAGTTCCTGAGATAAAATCGTGTTAAGCAATTTGGGGTGATTTAACAATTTTTCAATTTTTCTGAGTGCCTTTTTTCATAAATTTTGGCTTCAAATCTGAGAAAAATTTAGTGTCTGGAGTTCGAGGTATGTTGATTGACCATTAGGATACAAAATCTCAACAGAAAAAAATTTGAAATTTCATCCTTGTAGCAAAGCCGTAGCTAGAGTCAAATTTGTGGTAGGGCATGAAAAATTTGACATAGGGCATGCACTACTTCCCTCCGCCCCTCAAATTTTTTATAGGTAAACAGAATGGGGGTCGAAGACAAATTTTTTAATGAACAACATCAAATAACATTTCTGGCGAATAAACAAAATGGCGCGTTCAGGCAATAATTTTTGAAGGACCTCTTGTACTTGTACTACTTGTAAAATAACTGTATGCCTATCAAATTATTCGATTTCAGGTCTATTCATTAGTTGTGGTCCAATGGACATAGGAACCCTTCCAGAACTAGTAATTTCCAATTGCCCACCTAATTTTCAATGAGTTGAACGTTCATCCTCCTTGGCAAATGAATTGATGGACTGAAAATTACCGTTCTAGAACGGTTCTCATGTCGGTTGAAACAGTGCTTTCATCTTCTCTTAAAGGACCCCGCAATATTTAAATGGAAATTGGTTACCCGTGATATTTGGATGAAATTTAAATATGTTATTGGGGATGCCGTAAGCAACATTTTTTACCATGGGCACAATCCTGTATATATGACTGGTGAGGCGTGATTAGCTGTCAAATATTGGAATCTTAAATCCAAAAGCAGAGTAACTATGGCAGATTTTGATGAACAAAAAATCTATTTCTACTAAGTCGACCAAGTTAAATCAAAAAAGGTCAACCATTTTGACACCTGTCAAAACCCTGCCAAACGGCAGCACTCATCTTTTCCAGTTTTCAATATTTTTTGATGTCATTTGACATTTTTAACTTGTATGTAAATTCTGAATTCGAAAATTGAAAAAAAAAAAATACAAATAACAGAACTGTCTAAATGACATCTTTGTGGATTTCATTTGTAAGTGTCAAAATGTTTGAGTACTTCAATGATTTCATTATAGTAGGTACTGGGTACTATAATGATTTCATTAAAGTACTCAAAAAAAATAAGTCGGTCGAAAATAGGTATATAAAATGCTTTATACTAAAACTACGTACTTTAAAATGAAAATTGACATCTCTGTCAAAATCTGAAACCTGCGTATAATGTTTTTCATGCGTTATCATAAATAAGCCTAACTTAAATTGGAAAAGAACTTGATTCCGTTCTTTTTTGAATTAAAGCTATTGACAAATTCTGACAGCTGTCAAAATGTGACATGCATGAACTGTTCAATATTTTATCACCAATAAATTACCTTAAAACAAGAAAGAACCAGATTAGAGTTTTTTTTTCCAATGAAACAAATGACAGGTTTTGACAGTTCTGTCATTTTTTTTTCTTCAATTTTTGAATTCAGAATTCACATACAAGTTGAAAATGTCAAATGACATCATAAAAATATTGAAAACTGGAAAAGATGAGTGCTGCCGTTTGGCAGGGTTTTGGCAGGTGTCAACATTTTTCGACTTAACTTGGTCGACTTAGTAGAAATGGATTTTTTGTTCATCAAAATCTACCATAGTTACTCTGCTTTTGGATATAAAATTCCAATATTTGACAGCTAACCACGCTTCACCTGTCATATATACAGGGTTGTGCCCATGTTAAAAAATGTTGCTTACGGCATCCCCCAATAACATATATAAATTTCATCCAAATATCACGGGTAACCAATTTCCATTTAAATATTGCGGGGTCCTTTTCTAGATAAACCTCAACGCATGTTGTGTTTTAGAGGTAGGGCATCATCATTTGAAAGATAGGGCATTGCCTCCCAATGCCCCTCCCTGGCTCCGGCCCTGCCTTGTAGTAAGAAGGTACCTTATGATTTAGATTCTGGAAAAACTTTGCAAGGTCATAACTTTTTTTCTATCATAGATAGAAAGCTGAAACTTTCACAGAATTTTATCCCAATCAATGGACTACAATTCCTGATAATTTTAGCTCGTTTGCACGTATAGTTCCTGATATAAAATTGTGTTAAGCAATTTGGGGTGATTTATCAATTTTTCAATTTTTCTGAGTGCCTTTTTTCATAGATTTTGGTTCAAATCTGAGAATAATTTAGTGTATGGAGTTTGGGGTATATTGATTGACCATTGGGATACAAAATCTCGGCAAAAAAAGAAATTGAAATTTCATCGTTTTAGTAAGAAGGTATCTACCTTATGATTTAGATTTTGGAAAAACTTTGAAAGGTCACAACTTTTTTTCTATTATAGATAGAAAGCTGAAACTTCCACTGAATTTTATCCCTTTCAAAGGACTACACTCCCTGAAAATTTCAGCTCATTTGCACTTATAGTTCCTGAGATAAAATTGTGTTAAGCAATTTGGGGTGATTTATCAATTTTTCAATTTTTCTGAGTGCCCTTTTTCATAGATTTCGGATTCAAATCTAAGAATAATTTAGTGTATGGAGTTCGAGGTATGTTGATTGACCATTAGGATACAAAATCTCATCAGAAAAAAATTTGAAATTTCATCCTTGTAGTAAGAAGGTACCTTATGATTTAGATTTTGGAAAACTTTGAAAGATTATAACTTTTTTTCTATTATAGATAGAAAGCTGAAACTTTCACTGAATTTTATCCCTTTTAAAGGACTACACTCCCTGAAATTTTCAGCTCATTTGCACTTATAGTTCTTGAGATAAAATTGTGTTAAGCAATTTGGGGTGATTTATCAATTTTTCAATTTTTCTGAGTGCCTTTTTTCATAGATTCTGGCTTCAAATCTGAGAATAATTTAGTGTATGGAGTTCGAGGTATGTTGATTGACCATTAGGATTCAAAATCTCGACAAATTTTTTTTTGAAATTTCATCCTTGTAGTAAGAAGGTACCTTATGATTTAGATTTCGGAAAATTTTGAAAGGTCATAACTTTTTTTCTATTATAGATAGAAAGCTGACACTTTCACTGAATTTTATCCCTTTTAAAGGACTACACTCCCTGAAAATTTCAGCTCATTTGCACTTATAGTTCCTGAGATAAAATTGTGTTAAGCAAATTGGAGTGAATTATCAATTTTGCAATTTTTCTGAGTGCCTATTTCCATAGATTTCGGCTTCAAATCTGAGAATAATTTAGTGTATGGAGTTTGGGGTATATTGATTGACCATTAGGATACAAAATCTCGACAAAAAAAAAATTGAAATTTCATCGTTTTAGTAAGAAGGTTATGATTTAGATTTTGGAAAAACTTTGAAAGATTATAACTTTTTTTCTATTATAGATCGAAAGCTGAAACTTTCACTGAATTTTATCCCTTTCAAAAGACTACACTCCCTGAAAATTTTAGCTTATTTGCACTTATAGTTCCTGAGATAAAATCGTGTTAAGCAATTTGGGGTGGTTTATCAATTTTTCAATTTTTCTGCCTTTTTTCATAGATTTCGGCTTCAAATCTGAGAATAATTTAGTGCATGGAGTTTGGGGTATGTTGATTGACCATTGGGATACAAACTCTCAACATAAAAAAATTTGTAATTTTATCATTTTAGTAGTAAGTTATGATTAAGATCTCTAAAAACTCTAAAAGATCATAACTTTTTTTTTATTAGAAATAGAAAGCTGAAATTTTCAGCGATTCTTGTCCCAATAGAGGACTAAAATCCCTGAAAATTTCAGCTCATACGGATTTATAGTTCCAGACATAAAAATTCGTTAAGCATTTTGGGTTGAATTTTCTAATTTTCTTGACGTCATTTTGTCATTAACAATAATTTCAGACGTCCATTCTACGTGGACGGTCGCAACTCGCCGACAACCGTCGAAGCTGACATGATGTCCAACGGAGGCGAATTTCCCTACTACAAAGACACCCAGCTGGGCTGCGAAGTTCTGGGATTGCCCTACAAAGGCAACAGGAGCACCATGTACATCATCATGCCTTTCGAATCGAGCAAAGACAAACTGTACGAATTCGAATCGCGAATAACCGAAGACGACCTCAACAATCTCGTGTCCAAAACGCGTTACACTGATGCGGTTTTGTTGTTTCCTCGAATGAAAATCGAAACTACTATTGATTTGAGGGAATCGTTGAAATTGATGGGGGTGACTTCGTTGTTTGACCCGAAACAAGCCAACTTGGCTATTTTGTCTTCTGGTCATAATCCCCAAAATTTGACTATTGGGAATCGGCTTGGTACGACTACTTCACTGGACAATATACGACAACTCATTAATGAACAGTCTAGTGATAATAATTTCCAAAATCCTGGCTTGTATGCTGATGAAGTGATTCATAAGGTATTTATTGAATTTTGTTGAAGAATTTCTAGTTATTATTTGTTTTAGGTTTACATGGACATAACTGAAAAAGGTACAGAAGCTGCAGCATCAACTTCAGTTAGTTTAACACGAGCTGGTAAAACCACCTTTAGAGTGGATGTGCCATTTAGTTTCTTTATACGTCACGACGAAACTAATACGATTTTGTTTTGGGGTTCCGTCATTATTCCTAATCCGTCCTATAAGAAATTGTAGACTAATAGAATTTTTTTAATAAATAACTTCATTCTGTCAATAGTGTTTTATTATTTACAATACAAATAAATCAAAAAAAAAATTAGTAAAAATATTAGTAAAAATTCTTGCTTAATTTACAGGATTGGGCGACAAATTACACATTACATCACTAGGATAATAATATTAATAAAAAAATATCACAGCTTTTATATGTCATAAAAACAACAATCACACAATCTATTTCATCTCTAAGGTAGCGTAATAGCTACCAGAAATTAGTCCAAAAACAGCTAAAACCATTATCGAAATGTTCTTTACGAGACGCCAGTGGTACTTGCCCCAGCCCTCATTCCAGTCAACTAAAATATCGATAAGGGCTGGTACTAGGAGACCAAGAGTTGAGAAGAAAATAGCACCGACAAAGTCGATTAGGGATCCCAAGTGTTCGCCTCCTGCTGCTGCAATACCTGAAAAAAACAATTTTTATTAAGTATTTTTAAATTAAAGTGGAAAATGTATTACAAAATTGAAAATTGAATTCGATAAGGTTCATTAGTTGAGAAATGGACTTCTCGAGGACTTTGCGGGGTGCCTGAAGGGCTCGATCCTAATTATTATCAATTTAATTTTAGTTTTTGCCGAACCCTTTAGGCATAAAGTTGATCCTTGAAAGCCTAATTCTGTTCTATTGTAAGTTGCTCTAAGAACTAGGCACCAATTTGCTATATTTAAGAAAGTGCTTTGAACATTGTGAAAATATGATAATTTTGATCTTACATTCATGTGGAGCCCTTCAGGCATGTCAGAAAGCCTAGACTTCTCAATTAAAATACCAAATATGACTCTTTTGACTTCATCTTTCAAACTTTAGGACCACAAATAGTAATTTTCAAATAATGCGTGCCCTACGGGCACTTTGCTGTCCTTTAGAAGCATAATGAGTGTATAATTTGGCTGAATTCGGAAAGGACCTGATGTCACGTGCCCGAAGATCTCAGCATTAAGTTGGAATACTGATATTTGCGAAAGTGTTTCGAAATTTAGAAAATTGGGATAATTTTGATCCTAAATTGTTAGAGGTTGAAGGAGTTAAAGTCCTTCGTGGAAGTCAAAAAACCTTAAGAAGCATATTTAGTGTTTCAACTGATTTGTGAAATGTTTGAAGGGCTCGGCACCAATTTAAGTTCAAAATTATCCTAATTTTCTGTATGAATAAATATTAAATTAAACTAATAATTATTTCTCAACAAACTTAAAGCAATCAGAGGAAATCAAGGGAAAATCATAAAGAACTTAGAGGAAATCTTGAGGAAATCATGGGTAGAGGTAATCCTAAGGGAATCAGTCAATTTCTAGATCTAACGCAAGCGCAGTTTTCAAAAATCTTTATTATTTGATTGTGATTGTAAGTTATCAGAGGATTGATGTTTGATCATGTTGAGAGATGTTTCTGTTTCGATTTTGACGCTTTCTGTTCTCACGCTGTTATTGAAATCCTGAATAAATATGTAGAAAATTTGATCGGCTTCAATTTTATCAAAATCGGATTGAAATTGAGAAAGTTGTCAGGCAAAATGTAAGTCAATGTCGTACTAGGAAAAAAGTACTGATGGCGAAATTTGATTTTTAGATTTTGGAGCTGTGTTGCAAATCATACGACTACGTTGTCTAGAGAATTCGATTGGCTTGAATTTGGGTCCAATTTCATGAAAATCGGATTGAAATTGAGGAAGTTGTCAAACCAAATGTGAGTCAATGTCGTGTTAGGAATAAAGTACTGATGGCGAAATTTGATTTTTCGATTCTGGAGCTGTGCTGGAAATCATGCGACTAGATAATGGTTTTATAGAAAATTTGATCGGCGTGAATTTGAGCCTAATTTCATCAAAATCGGATTGAAATTGCGGAAGTTGTCAGACAAAATATGAGTCAATGTCGTGATGTTAAAGTTCTGATCGCAAATCTTGACTTTTCGATTTTGAAGCTTCCCAAGAGTTGTATTAGAATCATAATGTCTTGGCTATGAATTTGTAGAAAATTTGATCGGCTTCAATTTGGGCCTAATTACATGAAGGTCGGATTGAAATTAGGAAAGTTGTCAGACAAAATGTAAGTCAGGTCATTTTAGATAAAGTTCTGGTTGAGAATCTTGATTTTTCGATTTTGAAGTTTTCTATGAGCTGTATTGGGATTATCACAAAGTAATGGAATTATAGAAAATTCGATCATCTTGAATTTGGGCTTAATTTCATCAAAATCGGATTGAAATTGAAGAAGTCAGACAAAATGTGAGTCGTGATAAATCAAGTTCTGATCGCAAATCTCGATTTTGAAGTTTAACTCTTGATATTAGAATCCTGTTTTGGCAACAAATTTGTAGAGAATTTGATCGGCTTCAATTTGCGCCTAATTTCATCAAAATCGGATTGAAATTGAGAAAGTTATCAGACAAAATGTGAGTCAATGTCATGATAGACAAAGTTCTGATCGCGAATCTTGATTTTTCGATTTTGAAGTTTTCTATGAGCTGTATTGAAATTCATGACAAAGTAATAATTTCATCGAAATCGGATTGAAATTGAAAAAGTTGTCGTGATAGATAAAGTTTTGATTACAAATCTTGATTTTCGGTTTGAAGTTTTCTGTGAGCTGTACCTAATATTGGGATCATGACAAAGTAATGGAATCGCAGAGAATTCGATCGTCTTCAATTTCGGCCTAACTGAAACTTCTAGGAATTCATAATTAAAGTCTTTTCTTCAAATATAACAAATCTGGAGTCAATCTGAGCCTCAGAAATGGAATAATTATGAATTTTTTTAAAAATCCTTGCAAAATTCTTAACAAATCAACTTTGGAATTTTTTCAAAATTACTTCCAGGAATCTGAGCAACTTGGAACTTGCAGGAATTCATAAATTAAAGTCTTTTCTTCAGATACAACAAATCTGAGACAATCTGAGCCTCAGAATTAGAGTTATGAATTATTTTAAAAATCCTTAAAAAATTCTTAACAAATCAACTTTGGAATTTTTTCAAAAATACTTCCAGAAATCTGAGCAACTTGAAACTTTTAGGAATTCATAATTAAAGTATTTTCTTCAAATATAACAAATCTAAAATCAATTTGAGCCTCAGAAATGGAATTATGAATGTTTTTAAAAATCCTTGTAAAATTCCTAACAAATCAATTTTGGATTTTTTTCAAAAATACTTCCAGGAATCTGAGCAACTTGGAACTTTCAGGAATTCATAGTTAGAGCCTTTTCCCCAAATATCATAAATCTGAAGACAATCTGAGCCTCAGAACTAGAACTATGATTTTTTAAAATCCATGCAAAATTGTTAACAAATTAACTTTGGAATTTTTTCAAAAATATTTCCAGGAATCTGAGCAACTTGAAACTTTCAGGAATTCATAATTGAAGTCTTTTCTCCAAATACAACAAATCTGAAGACAATCTGAGCCTCTGAACTGAAATTATGAATTTTTTTAAAAATCCTTCTGAAATTCTTAACAAATCAACTTTGGAATTTTTTCAAAAATACTTCCAGGAATCTGAGCAACTTGGAACTTCCAGAAATTCATAATTAGAGCCTTTTCTCCAAATCTGAAGACCATCTGAGCCTCAGAACTAGAATTAGGAATTTTTTAAAAAATCCCTGTTAAATTCTTAACAAATCAAATTTGGAATTTTTTCAAACATACTTCCAGGAATTTGACGAACTTGAAACTTATTTTATCGAAATTGGATTGAAATTGAAGAAGTTGTCAGAAAAAATGTCAGTCAATGTCGTGAAGGATAAAGTTCTGATCACAAATTTTGATTTTTCGATTTTGAAGCTTCCCAAGAGTTGTATTAGAATCATGTCTTGGCAATGAATTTGTAGAGAATTTGATCGACAATTTGAGCCTAATTTCATTAGGATCGGATTGAAATAAAGGAACCTGACAGACAAAATGTGAGTCAATGTCGTGATAATCGCGAATCTTGATTTTTCGATTTTGAAGTTTTCTGAGCTGTATTGAGATCATGACAAAGTAACATGGATTCGTAGAGAATTCGATCATCTTGAATTTGGGCCTAATTTCATCAAAATGGGATTGAAATTGAAGAAGTTGTCAGACAAAACATCAGTCAGTGTCGTGTTGGAAAAAAAAGGAATTTCTAAAGGGTCTGTAGCAACTAGCAACTGTAGCGTATGACCAAAGAGATCAACATGCCCCAGATTTCAAGCTGAATAATAATTTTCCAGTAATTTAAATACTGTTAGATACCTACACTTGCCAAGTCTCTGAGGGCTCGGAACAAATTCAGTTTTCAAATTTGAAAGTGTTACAAGTTTTCAAATTACTCAGAAATTACTCATTAGTTCAACTAAGACTACTTTCTGAGTATCTTAGGAAGTTGTTATAATTGCAAATTTCAATCTAAAACTTGTGTTAAACCCTTTGAGTGTTTTTAAGGATATAAATATCAACAGATCCTAGAATAGTTATGATTTATACATCAAGGTTCTCTGCAGCGTTCAAACTGGATCAACTTGGAATTTCCTTATCCCAAACTTCAGATCTCTCACCTGTAATGAAAATCACCAATCCAGTCCTCAAAAGAATTTGAGAAATATTATGCCTATTCTCAGGTATCCTATGTTTTATCCTATTCCAAGTAATATCCAGTGGCACGTAGAACTGTAGCATAAAAGTGAAAAACACCGCTATCGATATGCTGGCTTGGACTATTTGAGCTGGACTATAGAAAAAAAAATATCACAAACTGCAACAAATAAAAAAAAAAAATATTATTACATTTCTTCTGAAGGCAAATTCTTAGTTATAGTAGCGTCGGTCAAATCTCCAAACCTATAATAACCAAAAAACCCGATGGCAGTGTAGAGGCAAATCACGACAGTCATTGCGGAGTTTAGTACACCAGGACAACCCACAAAAGAGGGTTTCGTCATAGTGTTTTCTACAGGCATTATGGTACCTATGCCTTCCATTGCAAAGAGCACTGTGCTGAAGAAGCTGGGAATACCTTTTCAAAAAAATAAACAGTTTAAAGCAAAAATGGTATTCAATTTCATGTACCTACCTTCCCATCCTGTTGCCATATTTCTATCTTCCAATTTAACAGCTCCAATACCATTAAAAATGTAATACAGCGTTATACTGAAAGCTACAACCATCATAGCATTTGCTAGAAAAGAAAAGGGTACTAGATGTTTGAGCTCTCTCACTTGGCAACAGAGAATTAAAGGTATCAGGATCATTAGTTTGAAGTACTGGTCCCAGCTGGCTGTTTCTGGATAGTAGTAGGAAAAGAGCTGTCAAAAAAATATATGTAATAATTATGTAACAATGATGTAAAAGTTTACCTTTGTCATGGATACTGTGATAAATACGATGTAGACGGCGTTGCCGCAGTAGTAGGTTAAAACGAGGGCGATTTCGACGAAATTTCTGCAAAAAAATTAATAAGTTGAGTGTTTTTCAATCTTGCAGCTACAAATTTATAATAAGAGAGGGAGAGGAACAAAAGACCTGATTCGCAAGACTATTAAAGTGGCCGGAAGACGTCAGAAGATTAAAGTTCCTCGAGTTATCGCAGCACCGAAATTAGAAGGAATTATTCGATTGATTCCTTTTTTGGCCGGACTAGGTGCTTTGGGGACGCTCAGTGGTGGTGCTGCAGGTATTGCAAAAGCAGTAAACGATACCCGTTTTCCAAATTTTTCAATTTTTGACTTTACTAATCGAAAGAGGGCGCTAAATTCAATAGAAAAGCATTATCGTGATTTTTCTTTTTGAGGTTTTAGGCCCTGTGAAAAATTGAAAAATATTTTTGTACTTGAATCATTTCATATTGCCTCATAAAATCGCTGATAACTCAATTAATATTTCATAAATTCCAATGCATATTTTTATATTCTTGAGCAGAATTGAATGCTCTTTAAGATAAGATAAGATTAAATAATTTATCTCAAATAGTTTTCGAGATGTTGAGCCTCAAAGTTGAAACTTTGTCTCAAATTTTGGAAAACCTTCAAATCGGAATATCTTGAAAACGGAGCCCTATGGCACGGTGCCCAAACTTGCTATTTTTGAAGCCCCAATTAAAATCTACAATTAGATGCCGATAACTTTTCTGGTTGTCAAAATGGCCCTGTAATTCCTGTGAAATATTCGAAAATGAAATTTCTTTGCATATGTACCCCTTTAGAGAGACAGCAGAGACAACAGAATTCCAAATTTTATAGAAAATGTACACTATTCAGGTATTTAAGCGCTCTGCTTAATATTTTAGGTATAAAACATTACATATAAACAGTTACATAAACTTGACTCGAATTTTCTCATACTTTCTCGTACTTCTATAAACTTTTCTTGAAGTGCAGAGGAAGTTTGAATGTGAGGAGAAACCTAAAATAATATTTCAGGTAGTTTCTTCCTCTGGAGGTGGACCACTCAGCAATGATCCGATGGGATAAAGAAAATATAAACAATTTGGATTTAAACACCACAATATGAGAAAACAGGGAAACGAGTAGTCGATGATTTTAATCCTAATAATGACGATACTATTCAAATTTTTTGTTAAAGTAGAAGACAATATTTCAATGAATTCACAAATCATTTCTGTTGATAGAATTCCAAAGTTTTTTATCTATTATTGTTCAAGAGGAATTTCTTGGAAAAAATTTTGTCTCTAGAAATTCCTTGATGCTGTGACATTTTTAAAATATCTCAAGCATTATTTACTAAAAGAATAACGTGCGCATCGCTTAAAAACAAACATCAATATTAGATCAACTAAAGTCAAACAAATTTTCCGTTGAAAACATAACAAGAACACAAATAATGTCCTCATAGTTTTATTCCGTGTTTGTTTGCATAAATTATTTTAATCAATTCACTAGTTTTTTTAAAAAAAAAGTACCTATATTTAATTAATAAGAATTTCACAACGTTGTAACCTTGGATCCTTAATGAATAATCAATATTGATTGATTTATTAATTTCAAAGAGGATTTCAGGTTTGCTGAGTTTCAGTGAAGAGACAATGAAAAATCTGTTTCAGGGCCCTGAAAAATTAAAACGAAACCTTCTCTTTATAAGGTCAAGGAAAACCCATAATGCAGTTTTAATCGATCTTGCATTGGACATGTTGCAATAAATATTTTATTACTTACATCTTTGGATATCAGTTAATTGCACATGATATTTGCATAAATACAATATAGTATAATGTTTTAAAGCAAATTTTGATTGTCAATAGCTGATGAAACAATCCAATTCTTGTCGGCTTATAATTGAAAAGCGAGAAAAAGTTAAAAAAAACTGTAATAATAATTACAACGTTGAAGTAACCAATAAGGAAGTGTGCATATTGGCAAACGGTTTGCATCACCCTCTCGGTATTTCAAGTCCTACCTTTCACCATCATTATATCGCGAGTAATGTAAGGTTTAGATTGCATTGTAAAGCGATTTTTTTTGTAAATCTGCGGGTCTATTGCATTGTGGTACCTCCAGGCCATCCAAGTAATTTAAAATAAGCAAAAATTAATCTATTTTCTGATGAGAATTTGTCTGAGAGAATCTGTAAAATATCCTGAAAGTTTATCTGTATTCAATCTTCCAGTTTCTCGAAGTTTTTTTGTCTTTGGTATTCCAAAACTTCTGTGAAAGATTCTCAGAGTTGTTTTGTCTTTGAGATTGAAAATTCTGCAATAAAAGTTCAAAAATCTTCTGTGTTTGAGCCTCTAAAGTCTTTTCGGCCTTTATGTCTTCCAGTTTCTCATACCTACTTTTTGTCTGAGACCTTTCAAACTTCCTGTAGAAGATCCTCATAGTGTTACAGTCTTTGAGCTTCAAAAATCTGTAAAATTTTCTGGAAGTTTTTCTGTCTTCAATCTTCCAGTTTCTCGAAGTTTTTTTCTCTTTGACTTCTGTAAAAGATTCTCAGAGTTGTTTTGTCTTTGAGATTGAAAATTCTGCAATAAAAGCTCAAAAACTGTCCGTCTTTAAGCCTCTCAAGTCTTTTTGCCTGTATGTCTTCCAGTTTCTCATACTTTTTGTCTGAAACCTTCCAAACTTCCTGTAGAAGATCCTCATAGTGTCTTTGAGCTTCCAAAATCTGTGAAATGTTCTGAAAGTTTTCCCGTCTTTAATCTTCCAGTCTCTCGAAGTTTTTTTCTCTTCGATATCCCATAACTTCTGTAAAAGATTCTCAGAGTTGTTTTGTTTTTGAGATTGAAAATTCTGCAATAAAAGCTCAAAAATCTTGTCTTTGAGCCTCTAAAGTCTTTTCGCCTTTATGTCTTCCAGTTTCTCATACCTACTTTTTGTCTGAGACCTTTCAAACTTCCTGTAGAAGATCCTCATAGTTTTACAGTCTTTGAGCTTCAAAAATCTGTAAAATTTTCTGGAAGTTTTTCTGTCTTCAATCTTCCAGTTTCTCAAAGTTTTTTTATCTTTGATATCCCACAATTTTTGTTAAAGATTCTCAGAGTTGCTTTGTCTTTGAGATTGAAAATTTTGTAAACAAAACTCAAAAACTTTCTATTTTTGAGCTTCTCAAGTCTTTTTGCCTATATGTCTTCCAGTTTCTTATACTTTTTGTCTGAGACCTTTCAAATTTCCTGTAGAAGATCCTTATATTGTTACAGTATTTGAGCTTCAAAAATGTGTAAAATTTTCTGGAAGTTTTTCTGTCTTTAATCTTCCAGTTTCTCGAAGTTTTTTCCTGTTTGACTTCTGTAAAAGATTCTCAGAGTTGTTTGTCTTTGAGATTGAAAATTCTGCAATAAAAGCTCAAAAACTTTCTGTCTTGAGGCCTCTCAAGTCTTTTTGCCTGTATGTCTTCCAGTTTCTCATACTTTTTGTCTGAAACCTTCCAAACTTCCTGTAGAAGATCCTCATAGTGTTATTGTCTTTGAGCTTCCAAAATCTGTGAAATGTTCTGAAAGTTTTCCCGTCTTCAATCTTCCAGTCTCTCGAAGTTTTTTTCTCTCATTAGATTATCAAACCATATAGCTACACCTTTGAAGTGTTGTGGAAACTAATAATTTTGTCATTGCTTTTCAATTGATCCATCTTCAATATCAACGGAAATGATCTGAATAAATCAGGTTCAAATTTTGATTATTCCCGGCTCTTGAATTCAAATCATGAGCCACGAATATTAAAAAACCTCAACCAATGAAATTGTACCAACTCAGTTAGACTTATACTTCTAGAAATAAAATCATCATGAATCAATTTTCTCAACGTCCTTTCTTCAGTTTCAAAATGTAAGAAAAATGTCTCTCTAAATCCAACTTCATTATGAAATGTTGTTGCAAACCAAAATCCGGTATTTTTATTTTCATTTTATTACGCATTAATCTACTTGTACGTTTCAATTAACTTTGATCTTGTAACAAAGTGGAACGAATTTACTTATTAAAAATTATTCTGGTTCAGAGCCTTGGAACAGAAAATCATACGGTTGAGTACCAATTCCATTGTATTTTCACCATATGAAGTCATTACAGAGGAATTTTATATAGGCATTGTTGCAAAAAAATAAATAGATTAAATTTGCTTGTTGTGTATTTGTTTTACCAAATAACCAGTATGTATATTTGTTTAAACTTTAACCATGGTATTTACGCTTTAACGAAAAAACCTTGCCAATGGCATTCGTAAAAACCTTGCGAATTCCAACTAAGTACGAAGCCTGATACTGTCAGAATATATAATTTATTTATGCAAAAAAAAATAATACCTACTTACTTTGCAAACCTAGAAAATCTTCTCAAGGGTTTGGGTCCTTGCCTGAAAACCTCTTCGGCAGTATCTGCGAATCCTAAACTGGGAATTTTGGCTCTTGAACATGCTTTATGTGAAGCTTTTACCTAAAACAGGATAAATTATTTTATTTGCGAACATTTAGTAAACTAATTATCGCCTCCTTAAAGGTAAAGGCGTGATAAAAATAATTATCATGTTATGAAAATTAGCATAATGATATTGGAATTTTAATTGGTTTCAATTTAAAAATCAACAAACAATTTTAGCTTCATTTACTACATTTTTATCATCAGTTGCTTCTGATTTAGAATCTCTTGTAACGTTTTCAACAGATCATCAAATGATAAATTTTACTAAAAGGTAACCATGTACCTTGACCTTACTTGACGTTTCCTCGAAAACAGCCAAAGACCCTCGTCAGGGAATCCCACAATGTTTGACTCGATATGCAAATTATTTGGTGTTTTTTTTTTGGGTCAACACTCTCAACTAATGATGTTTAGTCTAGACCCAGTTTAGATAAAAATAACCTTCACTTACCAATATGTGTATGGTGTGCGTACATAAAATTCCTATAATAACAGTTCCGAAAAGTCCCACCAACAGTCCAGCGCTCTTGAAAGCCCTTGGTATCGCCAAAATCCCAGTTCCCAAAGAGCTTTTGAGCAGATGAATTAGAGCGTCTGAAAAACTACACAAAAAAAAATCACGTGACCTTCAAATTTAAGTCCCTCGACCGAAATTATTATCCCACTAAAAACCACTTATTATATTAAAGCGAATTTATTTTAATGAGTATTTTTTTCGAAAAACAAACCCAAATGAAGAGGGGTCTCCGTCTGGTGACGCTAGCTTAATATTTACGGCTTCCTCAATTGAAAGAAAATTATTTGATTATTATTATTGTCTTTTACCTATTTGGATGTTCAATGTTTCGGTGGTCGTACGGGTTGTACTCGGTACCGTCGCCTTTTTCCGGTATGGTACCGTTCGAATCGATCGGTACTTTTATTTGGTCGTTATTTGTTAGAGTTGCCCTAAAACAAAATCAAATAATAAATATTGTTAACACGTGATAGAATTTTTAGAATCATCTTTTGTAAACTTTTTCAGGCATATTTTTTAAGATTTTGAGAAGCTCTGATTGAGTTTGAATCCTTGTCGAAACAAACTCATTTAGAGCCAATTAGATTGATCAGAAATCACCAGAAACGTCAATGAGAGCCAATCAAATAATTACAATCCGTTTCTGAAATATTTCTGAAAACACTTGATTGAGCTCAGCAAACTCAGAATAGGTACCCAAAAATAGCAATGAAGCTCAGTCTAGGACAATCAGAAGTATTTGTAAACTGTTCCAGGCACATTTGTAAAGATGCTTAGTAGCTTTGGTAAAATTTGTCAGAAAAAACTTACATAAAACCAATCAGATGTATCAGAAATCACCAAAAATGTCAATGAGAGCCAACGAGAACCGTTTTCAAACTGATCCTGATTAATTTTTGAAGATGCTGATTGATTATGCAGGGGTTTGAATTCTCATTAGAAGAAACTTCAAAAAATCAGAGTATTACAAAATGGCTAGGAGCTTCAGTCAAATTCAATCTGGTGAATTTGCAAATTGTTCCAGACAAATGTTTGAAGATGTTAAGTGACTCCTGTAAGATTTGAATTCTTGTTAGAAGAAACTCACTTGGAACCAATCAAAATTATCAGAAATTACCAAAAACATTAATTTCCAAACTAATCCTGATTCATTTCGAAAGATCCTGATTGATTTTGAATGGGTTTTGAGTTCTCATTGCAAGAAATTCCAAAAAATCAGAATGTTCCAAAATGTCTAGGAGCCTCAGTCAAATCCAACCTGATGAAAATGCAAACTGTTCCAGGCACATTTTTGAAGATGTTGAGTGGCTCCTGTAAGATTTGAATTCTTGTCAGAATAAATTCACTTGGAACCAACCAAATTTATTAGAATTGTCCAAAAACATCAATGAGAGCCAACGAGAACAATTTTCAAAAAGTTCGTGATAAATTACTGAAAATATTGATTGCAGGAGTTTGAATTCTTATTAAAAGAAACTCCAAAATGGCTATGAGTTAGATAGATTCTTGAAGATGTTGCCTAACTCTGATTAGGTTTAAATTTTTTTCTGAAGAAACTTCAATACTTCAATCTCATAAGATTGTTCAAACTACTGAATTTGCAAACTGTTCTTAATGTAAACTTCCGACAACTTTAGGTACTCAAAATTAACTGGAAAATTTATTTGTTCCGAATCATCACTACTTCTATAAACTCTAATCTTTGTGATTTAGTTGACTTTAGGATCGATTAATATAAATTAATTCTTAAATATCAAGTAGCATATTTGCAAGCTGATTACTGTATAAATTAGTCACTGACTAGCTTTATCCTTCTACTTCTAGCTTTTGCAATAGTTTTATTGTGAAAATGGGGCGTTCTAGAGCATCGTCAACCTCAAGAAGTACCAGTAGCTCTAGTTCCGACAACGGCATCAACTATAAAAGACTGCTAGTACATCCAAAGATAAAACCCAACAAAGAAGTTTCACTCTCCTGGCAACCAATAAAGATGACAAAATAAGCAGGTTTGAGAACTCAGTGGAAAAGCTCATAGAGCATCAAGTGGAGAATAAATCCGAGTCATCAAGGATTTACACTAGACCTGAAAGTATTTCCAAATTTTCTCCTAAAAAACCTAATATGAGTGAACACAAATCGATTGAGAAAATTGAACAATTAGGTGCAATAAATCATTGGGATAAAAAAACAATGATTTATTATATGCAAAATTGCTTGAAAGGAATAGCCAAGAAATGGTTTGAAAATTTACCATCATTCCGGTTTACTTGAGAGGAATGGAAGGATGTACTGGTGAAATCATTTCCTGAGCACCAAGACTTCACAACAATTTTGATGAAGCTGGTAAACCGACACAAATTCTTAAACGAATTATGGAAGCAGTGTTAATTTGAGAAAATGGAACTGTTGAGTGTCTGTGAAATTGATGGAAAAAAACAGTATCCTGTGTACAGGAATTCAGAATCCGACTATACAAGCAGGTGCTAGAGCGGGCAGATATGAAACGCCTGAGGCACTTTATGCTGAATATCTATCAGCGTTAAAAGTAGAACGGTCGACACCGGAAAGATACGCTCCAAGACGAACACATTATGACGATCCAAACTGCGCTGGACCATCCCATTCGAAAAGGTTCAAGTCGAATTACAAGGAAAATAACTGCACCAAGCCGAAAATTCAGTGTGACAACTGCCACAGAATGGGCTATGTCTCAAAGAACTGCAGTAGGCCAAGGAAAAATTTGAAAACACAAGTTGTGTGGGACAACTCCAAGGTACAAGCGCTTAATCCTATTATTTCGATTGCTGGGTGAACGAAAAGCCTACACAATCATACGTAGACTCTGGATGTGCTGCTGTATTGATTAAAGAACATGATGCAGAATCACTGGGAATGAAGTACACTGAAGTACAGCGACGTAAGCATTGAAGGTTATGGTGACTCTTCAGTCCCACTTCTTGGTAGAGCTAACTTAAGACTGAAAGTAGACTAAGTAGAAGCTAAAGTGGAAGCATTGATAGTAGGTACCTCATGAATCCTAGGATATACCTGTAATGGTCAAACTTTCCTTAATAATGAGGACACCATTATGATAACTTCTGAAACAATAGTGAGAGTCCTTTCCGCACATGATGACCTTGCGAAAACATTGGATGTCCCTCAGTGGAAAATACCTCTATGGGCTACGAAACGTGCTGTGATTTCACCAAGGACGATTGCCTTAGTGGCGGTGACATCTCATGGACGTTATTCTGGAGAAGTCTATATTCAAGGGTGACTACGAACCTACCCTGGCAAAAGAAAATTCCTGGACGAGTGTATCACGAATGCTGAAGGTGGTTGTGTTACTGTAACCAATCTATGTCATCAAGAGTTTGAGGTGAGTAAAAACAATATTTTGGCTAGATGTGTTACTTTTTTCGAAGCTACGAGGGCTTTCTACCCAGAAACAAAGGAAAAATAAATTCAGTATTAATAATTTGAATATTAATAGAAATGTATCTAATTTACGAAGTCACCAGTTGTTAAGGCTGGTAAATGAATTTGATGATTGTTGTTCTCAAAATACAAATCAGTTTGATGAAACAGATATACTACGCATGTCCATTCATCTAAGCAGTGATACACCTGTAGTCTATCGTCCTTATCGACTTTACTTTGACGAACAAAAAGTTGTAAGGAATATTGTGTAGGATTTGCTCGAGAATGAAATAATTCGAGAACCGGAGTAGCCTTACGCTAGTCCAATCCTTTTAGTCAAAAGGAATAACTGCCAAATGCGCATGTGTGTTGACTACCGTGCATTAAACAGGGTAACAGACAAAGGCAGATTTGCCTCGAGTTTATGACTTTCTTGAAAAACTGAAGATTTGTTAATATTTTACTAGCCTAGACCTTGCTAGTGGATACCATCCTCCTTTCGGTCTTTGTAATGTTCCTGCGGTTTTTCAGAGAACTATCAATTAAGTGTTAGGACCTTTTTGTTATGGCAAAGCTTTATCCTATATGGACGATGTGTTTTCTCTGCAATTGATTTTGACGCTGGCGTTTTCAATTTATAGGAAGTTCTAGAATCTAGCCATTCCTACTCGGAGGTTATCCAAATGCCAGTTTTTCGTGGAATAGGTGGAATATTCGGGTCACGAAGTCAGCAGAGAAGAAGTACAGCCAGGCCTTAAGAAGACAGAAGCCGTAGGCAATTTTCCATTGCCCACAGATGTTCGTGGTGTGAGATAGTTCTTGGGATTGGCTTGTTATTTTCGGAAGTATGTATATGGTTTAACTACGATCGCAAAACCGTTGACAGTGCTCACAGAAAAAGACGCTAATTTTGAGTGGAGAGATGAACAACTCAAAGAAAAGTTGGTCACTCGACCACTGTTAGCAATCTATGATCCTGAGTTGGTAACTGAAGTCCATACGCATTAAAGTTAGGCGATAGTGTCATACTATTACAAAAACAGCAAGACGGACAAGTTAAACCGGGTATGTATTACTCTAAGTAGACCACAAAAGAAGAACAACGCTATCATTTATACGAGCTAGAAACGATGGCTGTTGTTTTTACACTAAAGGCATTTAGAGTTTACGTAATAGGTATACATTTTAAATTAATTACCGACTGCAATAATACCATCAGAACGACATTGACCAAAAAAGATTTAGTTCCAAGAATTGGCAGATGGTAAATGAGTATCCAGGAATACACATTTGAAGTTGAATATCGCCCAGGTCAAAGAATGCAGCAAGCAGACGCACTGAGCCGAAATCCAGTGGAGGTATTCTCGAAAACTCGCCGACTTTTTCAAATAATATTGTGAACACGAATCATGAACATTGGATTTTGAATGCTCAGCTAGCTGACGAAAGGTGCAAGTATCTAATAGAAATACTCAAAAGAGATCCAACTGACATCGAAGAGAAGAGCATACGCAAAGACTTTTGTCTAGTTAACGAGCGACTCTACAACAATCTTCCTGATGGTTAAAGATGGATTATTTCTAAGATAATACGAAGACAAGTAGTGATGCACTTCCATGATGGTAGTGGGTATCTGTCGTTCGACAAAACGATTTCAGCTCTGACCAAAATATACTGGTTCTCAGAAATGCGAAATTGTGTCAAGAACTATATCACCAGTTGCTTACCATGCTTATCCAACAAGGAACCGTCTGGCAAAAAAATGGGTTACATGCATCCAAAAGAAAAGGTTCCCGAGCCTTTTGATACATACTACATGTTGATCATTTATGTCCGTTCGTGACTCCCATTTAATCGTCATAATGGGCTCCTTCATAAATGACCTATGTGTTTATGGAAGCGATGCCATCTACTAAGACAAGACCCTGGATAAACTTTGTGAATATTGTCACAATTTGAATATAAAACGCGTACTTAATGCTACAGCAACGCCATACGATATTGAGCCAGCTTACTGCTAGCACTGATGAGGAAGAAAAGTGGGATTTCCAAAATCAGATGGGGTCTGAATTCAACGAAGAATTCTTCTACAGGAAAATCCCCCTATGAACCACTCCTTGGTTACGTACCAAGAGGTGTGGCAAATGCGGTCCTAGCCAACGAAGTCGCTTTGGAAGTAGTTGATGCCTGGGATTTACAACAGCTTGGAGAAAAAGCTAAAGTGAATATCGATAAAAACCAGTGTTCATGCAGCTTATTTTATATATTCATTCCAAAATTACGAAAGAAAAAAAACGTTAAATGCTATACAAGTTCAAATCAAAATTGACAGGAGAACAGTCACTTTCGGCCTGCTTTAAAGTAAACGAAAGTAAAGTGACATTTTCGAACCTTCAAACCAGTAAGGAATGCATTAATTACATATATGGTTCAAAATAAACAAATTTTACAAGTCAGTAGAATTATTTATTTTCAAAAAATCAGTTTTATCACAAGAATTATTGCTTGTAGGTACCTTCTGGAAGAGTAACAAATAAATTATTGTACATTATACGTCAGGTAGCAGTTTTTACTGGCTCTTGAAGGTGACAAGCTCGCCTGACGGCTGTTCGCGCAGACGCGGCGTATGTGAAAATATGTGATTTATGAGAAGAAAGCAGGAAGCAGTACGAAGCCGTGTCTCTAAAACGTTCTGGATACGAGGAGCTTCTCTGGATCGACGAAAACCAGCATAAACCAAGTACCTAAGTGCCAATCCTCCATGGTTTTTGTATGGCTCGGGTTTATGTCCGTTAATATTTGTGCGGCAAAATTGAACTTAGCGCTTACAGTCCCGCTGCTCTCTAAAATTTTGAAAAGCTAACGTAAATTTTCGTGAACAACCAGGCCGAACGAAAGGCTCGATTTGACGCACGTCAATGCAACGGTCGAACATTTAAAGAAGGTGACCAAGCTCTAGTAAAAACACAAAGTGCGAGTAATCAGGGTTAAAGCAAAAAGTTATTGCCAAAGTATAGCGGCCCATACGTGATTACCAGAGTCTTAGACCATCACCGTTATGTAATAAAGGATTTAATGGGATCTACGAGATCTCAAAGAAAATATAAAGAGTGTGTCTCACTCGACAAGTTGAAGCCTTATAACGTAAACTTAAGCTCAGAGTCAGAATCCGACGAGGAAATCTGAAAAAGGACAAGGTATGAAGTCAGATCCGACGTGGAGGCTGATCCATATAAAGTAGAGTCCAACGTGAGCTTTGGAAACATTCAGATCTGAACTCAGAACCCAACGTGGGTCTGAGACGATAAACGATTGGAATCTAAAGTGGAATCCGATGTTGAAGTGAATGGGTACCCAAGGTTCTATCAGTAAGACGGTGGAGGTTTGGAATTTCATATTTCTACTTATTTGTTTTATTATTATTTAGCTTATAGTTTAAGCAATTAGGGACACTAACACAAAAGTCAGTTGTTAGGCATGACATTTGTACAAAAGTACCTACTAAGTATTGTTTTTCCACAGGTATGAAAAGGCTTCCACGAGGATGTGAATAGATGTAGCATGGCCGACTGTGAAGATATCCATCCAAACCACTACAATCATGATGGGTGCACTACCTGGAAGTCTGATGCAATGGCCCTAAAAGGCCCTTAAAAACAAGCCGAGGTAGTCTTGGCTAGAGAGTTATCAGAGCGAGTCGTGTCCCTGTGCCAAAGCCTTCTGTTCTATTCTCATCTGTGGATTAGTTATAAAACATCTATATTTTTCGAGCCCGAGCGTTTAATTTTGAGTAGGTACCTAAAATTATCGGAAGTTAAGCAAACTTATCCAGGAGCTAATAAGCAAAATGTTTTTGGGAATGCTGATTGAATCTGATAAAACAAATAATTCAATCTATTGCTGAAATATACCGTAACGGAAACCATCGTCAGCTCTTAAATTTGAAAACTGATTTTACAATTAAATAATGATAAAGATATAGGTACTTACGTAGAACTAAATTGGTCTATTGTGAACGTTGAAGGGTACTTGTCCTTTTCGGACGACATCTTTTATAGCTGTAATAAGAAAAGGAAGAATCATAAAATATGCTAAATAGAAATTTTTCAATCAACGAAATTAAAAACCATGCGATTATTAGTATAATTGGACATAAAAATTTTATGTTTTTTTTTTGTTGTTAAATTTTTCAGACGTACAACGAGAAAATAGAAAACACTCATGTAAGGTATGAAAAAAGATATGTATTTTTAAAACCGCAATTTATAATGATAATTACTATTCCTGACAGAATAAACATAAACAGCATTACGTAAATGCTTTTTTTTTTCAAAGCCAACATACGTTGTTGATTTGATATTATTCAAGTACTATCTTTGACTTTGGTGGTTTTTGTAGGGGAAATACTAAAAAAAGTTAATTCCTGCAAAAACCCACTCGAATTTACCACCGGATACCTAAATTATTGTGCGTCGTTGGGATATCCAAACCCAAACCTTGTCCCATCTGAATATATATTGATAAATTAACTACCAATCAAAAGATAAAGAATCAACTAAGCCATAAAATGAATGTTTCTTCCTTTTCAGGCCTGAAAATAGATTTCTTTCTGGAATAGAACATCAGAGAACAGTGAAGAAGGTATGAGAAATCCCTAAACTCAAAGGTTCTTAAAAGATTCTAATAACTCTTTAAGAATGTTTTGAAAAGTTGTGAGTCTCAGAAGATTCATGTTCAAAAACTATCCCTAATTTTCTAAATGTTACTAGTGATTCACACAAAATATCATGATCAGATTCAATTTTTCTATTAAATAATTGATCGCTTTGAAGTGTCTTATTAAAATTCTTCAAAGCTGAGTCATATTATTATTATATCAGAGAATAAATCAATGGCAGATTGATTTTTTTCTGGTCCAAGGTTTTTATAATAATAATTATTTTGTAATTTTCTCTACTACTGCAATGCAAGGCACTTATTGAACCTTATTTTTTCCATATAAATATCTTGGAAAATTATACAATTTTATTGTAAACTATAAATAAACAAAACTGAGTGCAACATTTTCAAACAGACCTTTGATTTTTTGAAGCAATTACTACAAGACTTTTTATCTTATATTAATTAAGTCAAACATTGCACAAAGTAATAATAGAGGCAGGTATATACAATGCGGGTACATATGTAATTATTTATTGCGGGTAAATGAACCGTTTTGTTGTGAAACTTTGATGAGATTTTTTTTTTATTGGAGGTATATGCGATTGTTGGGAAATTTCAATTTATTTTTTATAGTTCAAAAAAATGGGTTACAATGGTCTATTGTTTTGGTCAAAAATGTTTGGAATGTCCATTTTATACCATTATCAATCACCATATAACTTTAGGAAAATAATCCAATGAATCAAGAGTAAGTAGGTAATCATCAAAATTTGGCCTGCAGAAAAATACACCACTCCTAACGTGTGCTTTGGTATTGTGTTTATAGAAGTTGCCCTTTTGTTCTTTTTCTATTTCTGCTTCTTCAATCTTCTTTATCATTTTTTTCTTCTCCATCTTCTTCTTCTCCTTCTTATAAATCAAATTAGGGTCAATATGTGGCAAACAACTTCTTAAATATTGCTTAGAGGCTTTCTCAATTTTTTTAATGAATAAATTCTTTCTTTTTCATCTACATATTTTTATGAACCTTCAACAGACTTTCCGATCCTCTACTTTCCCAAATTTCCACAAAGTTCCTAAAAATGTCTAATTTTCCTTGGGTGAACGAAAAAACTTCCACTTTTCAGTCTATATTTAAAGTCTTTGAAACAGTCATTTTGGAGTTTTCGTAGAGAATTGTTTTCCGATAGTATATACAGAGTGATTCAGGAATATTTTTCTACACACCTTGTAAATTTATGGAACAAACTATTTCAGGTTCTCAATATAAATTGGGAAATGAATATATGAATTGGACTATTAATGGCTCTCGAAGGGTCTTTTAAGGCTTTGAATTGATTCTGATAATCTTTCTGAACTGAAATTTTTGAAAATTTCAAAAAACTGCCAAACGCCTCAAGGTACCTACATAAAAAAAGACTAGAAATACTCCAAAGCTATCTTAGTCCTAAATAGTCTCAATGCTCATGACTAAGGACTCTTAAGTTACATCTTTAGGATCTTCAGATTCTGAATTGGTTCTGATGATCTTTCTGCAGTTAGGAACTTGAAATTTTTGGAAATTTCTAAAATCTTCGAATCACCTCAAAGGTACAGAGTGTTTTTATAAATTGACACCCCACCTACAGCTTTCACCTCTACAAGTAGATGAAAGGTGTAAATACAAAAGTTATACAGTATCGGCTAAATTTTTAGAATCCATGGTCAGAGACAAAAATTGAATGTCAGAAATGTGAAATGTTGCATGCTTTCAGCTTTTTTCAAATGGCATACCCTATATTTTATTCTATATTCTTGACGAGCACAATGCCCCAATTCTAAAAATATAGAGTTTGTCTATATTTGATTGAACAGTCTCTCATATATTCGGCTCCAAAAATTGTAAAAATACCATCCTACTACTGATTTTGTGAACCATTCTACCTATACAGGTGAAAGCTGTAGGTAAAATTTGAGGTACTTGGTTTCTCTGATAGTATTTTTAAAATTTTTAGAACCATGTTGGAGACGGCTCAACCAAATATAGACAAACTATATAGTTTTGGAATTGGGAAATTGTGCTCTTCAAGAATATAGAACCAAATATAGAGCATCCCATTTGAAAAAAGCTGAGAGCATGCAACATTTCACATTTTTGACATTCAATTTTTGTTTTTGATCATGGATTCTAAAAATTTAGTCAATACTGTATAACTTTTGTATTTACACCTTTCATCTACTTGTAAAGGTGAAGGCTGTAGGTGGGGTGTCAATATATAAAGAAACACTCTGTACTTGAATAATAACTTATTATATAAAGTCAGAATTTGTAAGATTATCCACTTTTTATCAATTTACCTTTCAACAGGAATTAGTAATGTTACTTACTTACTTTACTTAACTAGTAACATAATGTGACAAGTTATTCAGGTATAAACGAGTGGATTGTTGCGGAATTTATAGGTGGACCTCTGCGGGACGAGCGCAGCGAGTTCCGCAGCCATTTATTCATCCATATGTTGTTTAATTACGATACTAAACTGACTCACTCAAATGTGCATTGTTCACATTAGTTTAAAAACTACACTTTTCAGGTAAATGTCTTACTTGAACAGTTCAACAGTATATTGATGAGTAGATGGCTGCGGAATTCGCTGCGCTCGTCCCGCAGAGGTCCACCCAAGAGTTTCGCAACAATCCACTTATTTGTACTTGTACTTGAACAATAACTTTTTATATAAAGTCAAAATTTGTAAGATTATGATTATTCACTTTTTGTCAATTCACCTTTCAACAGGAATTAGTAATGTTACCTTACCAAACTAGTAACATAATGTGACAAGTTATTCAAGTACAAATGAGTGAATTGTTGCGGAACTTATAGGTGGACCTCTACGGGACGAGCGCAGCGAGTTCCGCAACCATCTATTCATCAATATGTTGTTTAATTACGATAGTAAACTGACTCACTCAAATGTGTGTTATTCTGAAGAGTTTAAAAATTACACGTTTCAGGTGAATGTCTTACTTGAACAGTTCAACAGTATATTGATGAGAAGATGGCTATAGAGGTCCACCCATAAGTTCCGCAACAATCCACTTATTTGTACTTAAACAATAACTTATTATATAAAGTCAAAATTTGTAAGATTATCATTATTCACTTTTTGTCAATTTGCCTTTCAACAGGAATGAGTAATGTTACTTTACCAAACTAGTAACATAATGTGACAAGTTATTTAAGTACAAACGAGTGGATTGTTGCGGAACTTATGGGTGAACCCAGCCATCTATTATCAATATGTTGTTCAAGTACAATACTAACCTAATTCACTCAGTTGTGAATTTTTATGATTAGTTTTAAAGCTACACATTTCAGGTGAGTGTTTTATTTAAACAGTTCAACAGTATATTGGTGAGTAGATGGCTGCGGAACTCGCTGCGCTCGTCCCGCAGAGGTCCACCCATAAGTTCCGCAACAATCCCCTTATTTGTACTTGAACAATAACTCATCATATAAAATCAAAATTTGTAAGATTATGATTATTTACTTCTTGTCAATTTGCCTGTCAACAGGAATTAGTAATGTTACTATACCAAACTAGTAACATAATGTGACAAGTTATTCAAGTACACACGAGTGGATTGTTGCGGAACTTATGGGTGGACCCAGCCATTTATTTACCAATATGTTGTTCAAGTACAATACTAACTAATTCACTCAGTTGTGAATTTTTCTGATTAGTTCAAAAGCTACACATTTCAGGTGAATGTTTTATTTGAACAGTTCAACAGTATATCGGTCAGTAGATGGCTGCGGAACTCGCTGCGCTCGTCCCGCAGAGGTCCACCCATAACTTCCGCAATAATCCAGTTATTTGTACAGGGTGTTTTTTTATGTATTGACACCCCACCTATAGCCTTTACTTTCACAGGTAGAAGAAAGGTGTAAATACAAAAGTTGTACAGTTTTGGCTGAATTTGTAGTAACCATGGTCAGAAACAAAATTTGAATGTCAGAAATGTGAAATTTTGCATACTTCCAGCTTTTTTCAAATGGAATTTTTAGAATCAAATATGTTGGAGACGGTTTAACCAAATATAGACAAACTATATAGTTTTGGAATCGGGAAATTGTGCTCTTCAAGAATATAGAACCAAATATAGGGCATCCCATTTGAAAAAAGCTGAAAGCATACAAAATTTCACATTTCTGACATTCAAATTGTGTTTCTGACCATAGATTCTAAAAATTTAGCCAATACTGTACAACTTTTGTATTTACACCTTTCATCTACTTGTAAATGTGAAGGCTGTAGATGGGGTGTCAATATATAAAAAAACACCCTGTACATGAATGAGGACTAGAAAAACTCCAAAGCTCTATGATTCTTAAAGATTCTCAAAGCTTGTGGATTAGGACTTCAAAGATCCTAAAGACGTAGTTTTCTGAAGACTTTAAAAACCCTATTTCAATCGATTGTAAATTGAAGCCTTTGAAGATTTCAAAGAATTAAAGACTGAAGCTCCTAATTCTTCACGAAAGTTCAAAAACTGCGTTATTAGGTTTTCCAAAGATTCGAGACTCAGTCTTAGTGAGCATTGGAATGAGGATTGTGAGCTTTTTTCAAGGGTTTTTGAGTAGATGGCTTAAGAATAACCATCAGAGTCTTCAAAATCTTCCGTGTGAAGTTTCAATTCATAAGCCTTTGAGGTATCTTCGGAATTCATAATAAATATTCGAAAATATGAATAAGTCTATTTTAGTCAGAGTATTTTGAAAAATAACCTATAGATATTCAGATTATCTGTAGAAATGCAAAGAATATGTATACAGGGTGTTCGGCACATGAGTAGAAATACGTAAATCTGAGATAGGTAGGGATTTTGGAAAAAAAAATAAAAAAATCTAAAAAAACTCCTTAGGGCCCAGGTCAAAATATCTGGGTGGACTGCATAGCAGACGGCCCCCCCTATCTCAGGTTTACGTACCTATGTCTACTCATGTGCCGAACACCCTGTATATTGGAAACATCCCCTCTTTCGGAAATTCCGAAGATATTGATTTTTTTCAAATTCAGTTTCCAAGATTTTAAAATGTAGACTCCAAAGACCCGGCTGATTATTCTGAGATTGAAGTTTTCCAAGATTCTAAAGATTCTGAAAACTTTTAAAACTCAAGATCTCTTGATCTGAAGTCTCTAAATGATGATGAAGTTTAAAGTTGAATAATGGGAATTAAAAACTTTGGAGGCATTAAAGATTGGAGAATGAAAATCATTGAGACTACTTTTTTAGGACCTTACACCATTTGACTTAAACTCTTTGGAAAATTCCTAAGATATTGATAATTTTCAAATGTCTCATATGAAGATTTAATTTTCAAGATTTTGAAATGAAGATTCCAAAGATCCGGCTGATTATTCTGAGATTGAACTTTTCCCAGACTCTAAAGATTCTGAAAACTTTAAAGACTCAAGATCTCTTGATCTGAAGCCTCTTAATGATGATGAAGTTTGAAGCTGAATAATGGAAATTGAAAACTTTGAAGGCATTAAAGATTCGAGAATGGAAACCATAAAGATTAGTTTCTTAAGACCTTAGACCTTTGATTCAAACTCTTTGGAAAATTCCAAAGATATTGATCATTTTCAAATGCCTCAGATGGAGATTCAATTTTCAAGATTTCAAAATGAAGACTCCATAGACCCGGCTGATTATTCTGAGATTGAAGTTTTCCAACTTTCTAAAGATTCTGAAAACTTTAAAGGCTCAAGATCTCTTGATCTGAAGCCTTTAAATGATATTGAAGTTGAATAATAGAAATTGAAAACTTTGAAGGCATGAAAGATTCTAGAATGGAAACCATAAGGACTACTTTTTTAAGTCCTTGGACCTATGTTTAGTGAAGATTGTAGACTTAAAACCCAAGTCTCAGAATTTGTGAGATCAATACGATAGACTTTAGTGATTCCACTACTGATTTAAGACCCAAAGCTTGTGAAAATTTTATAGGGATGCCTTGAAATGTAAAGATTTTAAATATTCTTCGGTATTTAATTTAAAATTTGTATCCATCATCATGAAGACTCGAAAGTCTTAAGATTCATGATTTAAAAGTGAAGATGCTTGAGACACCAAATACTTTAAATATTTTGAGAGTTCTGAAGACCTATTTTAGTGCAAGAAGAAAAAGAATCTTGATTTGCTGAATGAATTTTTCTGATGAATTTAAAGACTTAAGTCTCAAGATTTAAAGCCTTCAAATGATCTGAGGCACAGAGTTGAAGGGTATAAGTCCTAATCAGCCTTTGGAGAGACTGAAAATAAATGAGATCAAGACTTCAGTGACTCCGATTTAAGACTGAATATTCTATAGAGACCTCTGAAAATACAAAGATTTTAAATATTCTATGGCTCTTGATTTGAAACTTTTAAAACTCCAGATATCTTAAGACTAGAAAGTTTCTCAAAATTTATGATTTGAAAGAAGATACGCTTATAAGACACCATATACTTTAGAATGGGCTTTGAAGAAAAATCGTGATTTTGATTATTACCGGCTCTTGATTTGCTGGACGATTTTTCTGAAGGCAATCAGGAGCCGGTAATAAGCATCAACTTCGATTAAAATTTATCTTCTCTTGATTCGGTTGACTATCTTCCTAGAAGTAAGTACCTAAGAATTGTATAGTTAATCAAAAGAGGTACCTTACATTACATTGATTTATTATGATTTTACCTAAACCTACAAATAATTGTCGAATCCAATAATCCAGTTCCTAAAAATCTGATAAACAACAACAACACCAAATAAAAACCAAAATAAACAAACCTTGATGATGGCTTTCGCACTTTTTCTTTTAAGACAAAATTACGAAACGTCTGGCCCAGATGCTGAAGAACCGCACCATGCGCGCACTAATTTATGGTACCGTCTTGCTAGATCAAGATGAAGAACCCACTGACACAATAAGACACATACATAAATCAAGTAGGTAGTAAAAGTTTTATTTTGAAGTAACAATTTTTTTTTTTTTAATTGAGCTCAAAAGATGTAAATAATTATTGTTATTTTTCTATACTTAATACATATATAGAATTATTTTGGTACCCGTAGCGTTCAATTGTTTTAGCAGTACTGACGCGATTCCGCGACAGGTAAACGGCTTATATAAATTTTTCGGTCTTTTAAATTGACTGATGATGGATGATTAGTGGGTACCTACTGCTCCTTATTCGGAGGGTACCAAACGCGTGATTCGCGTGTGTGTTTTTTTTTAGTTGTGGTACTGGTTTTATTGCGATGTCTGGTCTGAAGGATTCGGATTCTTAATTACGGAAGAACCTCTAGAACTGTTTGTATAATTTGGCAATTAAACGAATAAGTTTTTCTAAAAAAAAATTGTATTTACTAATGTTATCACAGGTTTTTTTGTTTTTAATGGATTATATCCTTGATTGCGTAAAAGACTCCGGAAATCATGCCGAAAACGGCCAAAAACATAAATATACAGTTCTTGATTAGTCTCCAGTGGAATCTGCCCCAACCATCTTCCCAATCGGCGACTGTGTCTAGAAAGGCTGGCACAAACAATCCTAAAATTGATAGGAAAATGGCACCCACTAGGTCGATTAGTAGGCCTAGATTTTCACCACCTGCTATAGCGATACCTGAAAAAATAATTAATATAATGTTAGATAGAGTTTTCTGAACTGAAACAATCAAATCAGTGTTTTCAGAAATGTTTCAGAAACGGATTCTAGTTTTTTTGATTGGCTCTCATCGACGTTTCAGGTGATTTTTGATTGGCGCTAAATTAGTTTGTTTCAAACTAAATCAGAGCTTCTCAATATCTTCACAAATGTGTCTGGAGCAGATTACAAATATTTCTGATTATCCTCGACTGAGGTTCCTCAATATTTTTGAATATTCTGAACTTGCTGAACAATCAAAACAAATCAGTGGTCTTAGAAATAATTCAGAAACGAATTGTAATTATTTGATTTGCTGTCATCGACATTTTAGGTGATTTCTGATGTCTAATTGGCTCTATATGAATTTGTTTCAAACTCAATCAGAGCTTCTCAATATCTTCACAAATGTGTTTGGAACAGTTAACAAATACTTCTGATTTTCTTCGACTGAGAGGTTCCTCACTTTTTTTGGGTATTCTGAGTTTGCTGAGCTGAATCAAAACAAATTATTGTTTTCAGAAATGTTTCAGAAATGGATTGTGATCACAGCTGTCAAAGATGCTTTTGAAAAGTATCTAGTTACAAGATAAGTTACTTTTGGAAAAAGTATCTGAAGTTACTTTGGGTATTTAGTTACTTATTGAAAGAGGATCTTAAATACGTATCTTAAGTTACTTTTCAAGATACTTGATAAGAAACTTATTAAGATATTTTATTATTATTTCCGAATAGCAGGCGGAAAAACCGAATAAGCTATTACTGTTTTTGATCCACAAGTTCAAAAACAAGATTTTTCATAGTTTGAAAATCCCAAATTCGAGAAGGTTCAATTCTTCTCGAGTTTATTGTAGGATCTCCAAACCAATACAGCTTCTCATATCGGTGGATTGCTCCACATGAACACTGTTTTCTTCAAATTCGAGAAAACCAATGTCGACAATATTTTCCTTATAAACAGGAATCTGGATATTATCATGTCTTTTCTTGTACATAGTACTTCAGCTTTACTGGCCAAACATATCTTGATATATGCTCTGTTCCAACCGACAATGGAACCGTTCCAGAACCAATAATTTCCAGTTGGCATTTTTTGCAACCCATTTTTCATAAGTTGAACGTTTATCCTACTTGACAAATGAATTGATCGACTGATTACCGTTCTAGAACGGTTCTCCTGTCGGTTGGAACAGAGCCAACTCTCAGAAATCCCGTCTGTTCTCACAGGAGTCTCCGAGAGTTTGCAACCTGTCAGAAACAATCTGTCAGGTCAGCTAAGTTACCTATTTATTTTGGAGCGACGGCAATTACTGTATTCCTTTTACTTGTTGAGTTCCTCGAAGCTGCTCAATGTCAAAAGTGCGTTAAGCACTTGAGTCGCTCATAGCAGAGCTGGGCAAAGCCCTCAGTGAAAGGGCTTGAAGCACTAAGCCCTAAGCCCTTTCTCAAAGTGCTTTCAATTTCAAGCACAAATTCCTTTTTATTTTCAAAAGTGCTTCACAAGCACAAAGCCCTCAAAGTGCTTTGTGCTTGGCAAGCACAAAGCTCCCAAAGTAATTTATAAAGTGCTTGAAGCACATCAAAAGTTCTTGGGGTGCCTCAAAAAGGGCTTTGAAACTCTTTAAATGTGCTTGAAGCTCTTTAAATGTGCTTGAAGCTCTTTAAATGTGCTTGAAGCTCTTTAAATGTGCTTGAAGCTCTTTAAATGTGCTTGAAGCTTTTCAAATGTGCTTGAAGCTCTTTAAATTTACTTGAAACTCTTTAAATGTGCATGCAGTGCATGCATCTTTTTAAATGTGCTTGAAGCCCTTTGAATATGCCCTGAAATCTTAGTACTCCTAACGACGCTAGTGAGCAATAAAAATGCAAAAGCTTACTCTCAATTCCCTCAGTTCATTTGACTAGAGAATCTGTATATTTTGTATTTTTTTGCAAATTACAATTACAATAATTGTGAATGGTAAATGGTATTGGTAACCAAAATAATTGTAAGTGGGTAATTTTTTTTTACATGGTATCCTATCCTTACACATCACAACAACTCAGGCTAATTTCATGAAATTACTAAAATTGTATTACTTGTCATTTTCTTTCATGTTAAAAGATGGCGTCAGTCACAAAAAAATGAGCATATCGATACTGGTATCGAAATATGGATTTGAAATATCGATGCTATTTGACGAGTATCGATATTTTTAAACTATCGCACCTACCTATTGAGAATAGAAATATCGATAAGCGAAAATCTAAATTCTTTGGTAAATATCAATCAGAAAATTCGGTGGTATGCGGTAAGCATTCCGACACAGAATAGATATCAGAATTAAGCAACAAAACATATCGATTCAAAATTTTTAGGTGGAGGATGGGATAGGTTAAATGATGGTCAATTCAAATTTCTTTTAGAGTGCTTCAAGCCCTTTTAAAGTGTTTCAAGTCCTTTCAAAGTGCTTCAAGCCCTTTTAAAGTGCTTCAAGCCCTTTTAGAGTGCTTCAAGTCCTTTCAAAGTGCTCCAAGCCCTTTTAAAGTGCTTCAAGCCCTTTGGAAGTGCTTTAAGCTTCCAAAAGTGCTTCAAGCCCTCTAAAAGTAATTGAAGCTCATTGAAAGGGCTTGAATTACTTTTTTTCAATTACAAATTACCAAGCACTTTTCTGAAGTGATTGACTTTGCAAGCCCCAATTACAAATATGTAAAAGGGCTTGAAGCACAGGGCTTTCAAGCCCTCAAAGTGCTTCAAGCACTTTTACAAGCACAAAGCACTCAAGCCCTGCCCAGCTCTGGCTCATAGTGCATCCCCCTTTCCCCTGATGCACTAAATTAACGTGGGTTGCAAGAAGCCCTTTGAAGTAACGTTAATATTAAAAAATATTGATAATATCTGAATTTTGTGTTTTGGAGTGACTCCGAGGAGCTCTAGAGCGACACATTCGGTGTAACTTGAGGTATAAAAGGAATACAGTTAATGACGGCATTGAAAACATGTAACATGGGCGATGCTTACTGACAGTTTACAAATTGTCAGAGACTCTTGAGAACAGAACAGACCTACCATCTACCTATTACCTACTATTTGAAACAGTCTTATCTTGATGGATCGGGTTTGAGTCTGGGTAAACGTATCAAGGAACTTTTTTTACTGCAATTTTAATACTTTTTGTTAACTTAGATACCTACATTTCTCAGTATCTAAGATGCTTTTAACTAAATATCTGAGATACTTTTTGGTATCTAAGATACTTTTTCAAGATACAAGTTACAGCTCCTTTTAAAAAGTAACTAAGATACCAGATACTTTTGCCAAAAAATTAAAAGTATTTAAGATACAGTATCTTAGATACTATAAAGTAACTAAGATACTCTAAAGTAACTAAGATACTTTTTTCTGACAGCTCTGATTATGATTATTTGATTGGCTCTCATCGACACTTCAGTTGATTTCTGATCAATCTAATTGGCTCTAAATGAGTTTTTTTCGACAAGGAATCAAACTCAATCAGAGCCTCTCGATATCTTCACAAATGTGTCTGGAACACTTTACAAATACTTCATAACTTCAAGCGTCCTTTTTATAAATTAGCGTAAATCCGATAGCAAATAAACATCAAGAAAAAATTACTGGGTATATTCTCACCTGTCGCCCAAATAATAAGAATACTTCTTAGCCCAATTTGGGCAACATTCTTCCACTTATTGGGCACTCGATCCTTCATTTTCGACCACAGAATATCGACTGGCACGTAAAAGACCAGCATAAAAGAAAAAAATACTGCAATGGCTATTGCTCCTTGGGCTACTTCTGCAAGACTAAAATTTCATTTAAAGTATTTTGCTTCATTTGATTTACTGACTCACATCTCTCCCGTGGGTAAATTGGAAGTTATAGTGGCCGCAGTATCTTCTCCGAACTTGTAATAGCCAAAAAACCCAATTGTTGTGTAAAGAGTGATAACAACGCCCATGGCAAAGTTAAGGACCCCTGGACAACCCAGAAAATTGGCAGTGACCATGGAATTTTCTACAGGCATAATAGTACCGATGCCTTCCATTGAAAACAGTACCGTGCTGAAGAAAGATGGAATACCTATAACAAAAATCATTCAGATATTATAATAATTTAAAGCTTGGTATTTTTTTTTTGTGGTGTTTATTTAGTGTATTTTACCTGCCTGATAAACTAGTAGCCAAATGCCTGTCTTTGATGTTGATGTTTTCTATTCCGGAAAACATGTAGTACCCAGTGGTACCAAAGGTAACTAATAGCATCACGTTGGCTATTAATGAAAACGGTACCAGATGCTTTAGATCACGCACTTGGCCGCAAATAAGCAACGGGATGAGAAGGATTAGTTTGAGGCTCCAGTCGCTCCATGTTTCGATTTCAGGATAATAAGCTGAGATTAGCTATAAAAGAAAATTTAGTAGTTAAGTTATTTTGAGCCTAATCGTCATGAAATTAGCTAAAATTTCAACAATTGAGCAAAAAACTTAACTCGTGGGTTTGAGCCAATGCAATTATCTTACCTTAGTCAAACTTATTGTAATAAAAACAATATACACTGAATCGGCTAGAAAGTGGATCGAAAACAGGCCTGCTTCAACGAAATATCTTAAATAAAATAATCATATAAGTAGGTATATTTTGTTTTTTTTGAAGCATCAACTCACTTGGCAAATTTCGCATATTTCCTGAGCTTAGGAGGACCTGACTTGAAAACTCCTTCAGCGGTATCGGCGAAGCCTAAACTGGGAGTCTTTGTTCTTTTGCAGATTTTTCCTGAAGCCTTCACCTACAAAAAAAATATGTTTCTTATATCATAATCAATGCAATTCACTCTTCTCTATACCGGTCTGTAGCTAGCGGCATCCCTTGTTTGAGAACTTAATTTTTACTTGAATGTTACTTACCAATATGTGTATGGCATGAGTGCACATTATCCCTACTAAAATAGTACCGAAAAAGCCTACTAAAAGGCCAGCACTTTTAAAAGCTCTTGGAATAGCCAAAATCCCCGTTCCCAAAGAGGTTTTGCAGATGTGTAAGAACGCACCAGTGAATCTACAATAAGTAAATGTAAAATTTTGTAAGTTAGTATTAAGATGTGTTTACCCGTTGGGATGCTCTACATTGCGGTGCTCGTAAGGGTTGTACTCTAGGTCGTTCTGTTTGTTGATTGAGGGTTTTTCTGACATGGAAATTTCGTCATTCCGGACAAGTGTAGACCTGGAAGAAGAGAAATGTAGAGTAATGAGATTGGCCAGGAGTTTCCTTTTTTGCCAGGAATTTGATTATAGAAATTCTTCTAAAGAACCCAATCAATTCCCTTCTGGTTATCAAATTTGAGTTTTGTATATTTTCAAGTTCGTTTTGTATTCCAGAAATAATCAAACTTATCCAATCAAGAGCCCAGAAGAATAATTAAAAGTTGAATACTATGGTGAATTGGTACGCGTGTTTGTTGTGATTGTCTCAGTAAGTTTGTTTGTAATTGTCTAAGTTGTAAGGGGTGTGCTTCTGCGCAATCTGAGCGCAATTGTGCTCTGTCATATAAGTATTTGGGCTGTTTAGTTTTAATTAGTTTATGTATAGGGCAACACAAGTGTAACCATCTTCTTTGCCGCAGGTTTAGCTTACCGATGTTCTCCAGATATATGTTTTTTTTTTTTGGGAACGTGACAGGAGTATCGAACACAGGAATTCTGATTTTTTTGTATTATTTGCGTATCTTCAGCTCTTAGACAAGGTCCATATATGAGGTCTGTCCAACCGACATGAGAACTGTTCTAGAACAGTAATTTCCAGTCGAACAATTCATTTGTCAATCAGGATAAACTTTCAACTTATTGAAAAATAGGTGGGTAACTGGAAATTCCCGTTCTAGAACGGTTAACGATTCTCATTTAGGGTTGGAACAGATTTATTGTATCACCATAATTCAATTTGTTTAGCACTAAGGTATCACATAGTTTCAGTTTTGCCTCCCTTGGCAGAGTCTCGAATTCTGTATGTACAGGCACTCCAGTATGCCAAATGTCAACTTATTGATGTGAATGACCTGATGTGCATAGTTCAATTTCTGGTCCATTCGCAGGCCGAGGTTTTTGACACAGGTGTTATTTAATCTAATTCTAATATTCAATCAAACAGACCAATCCAAAAGCCAGGTATAATCAAAAGTTGAATTTTCAAAATTTGACTTTTGAATATTTCCAAACACTAAACCCAATCAAGAGCCTGGAATAATCAAAACTTAAATGAACAGCATTTCAATTTTGAATTGGTATATTCTCAGCTTTTGATTGGTTGGAGGGCGAGGCTAGCAACCCTCCATAAAACAATCGCTATGCTCACAGACCCTAAGCATTGCCTCGGAACAGGACGGATTCAATGTTGACGACACCAGCGAGGACAAGGAAAATGAGACGGAACAAACACAAAAAGCAAATAAGACTGAGATGTTGGAACGTGAGATCATTCAGTGGAAAGAACCAAGAAATTATACTAAAACTACAGCACCATAAAATAGACATATGTGCCATATCGGAAATAAAAAAGAGAGGAAAAGGAACAGAACAATATGATGTCTACATTCTGATTTACTCGCAGGCAAATGAAAAGACACAAGAGCGGCGTCGGGAGTTGGAATGCTGTACAACCAAAAATTCAGGGACTCCATAACTGACATTAAGTACACAAACGACAAAATAAAAATAACCCTGAGGGAACGAGGTAATACCTCGACTCAAGAATAGATTCAATTAGACAGTGAACGAGCGAGGTGAGAAGCTTGTTGAATTTTGCGCTTACCAGGAATTAGGGATTAACAGCACATACTTTAAACACAAACCCCAATACAAAGTCACGTTTCAGGGCAATAGAGGGGTAACGTCCACAATAAATTATATAATAACGAATAGAGCCATTAAACCAGAGCAAATACAGGATGTTAGATCATAACTTAGTAATGGGAATAATCACCATGGCAAGACCGCCAGCTAATAGCAAGAAACCGGAAAACCCAACAACAAAGTTCAACATCGAGTCACTAAAAACAGAAAGCACGCTGGATCTGTACAAACGGCGCATGTCCGAAAAAATTGAAAGGGAACCCATCCTCCAACAACACACAGTAGACCGCGCATGGGACATTCTACTAAACAACATAAACTAACCAGCGGAGGAGGCACTAGGCAAGAGAACAGTCAACACAACGACCAAACACAGAAATAATAAACCCATGGTTCAAACCAGAGGTGAAGATACTGGCCTATGAATATGCTAACATACACAGTCAACAAGACTCCAAGAAACCACATCAAATACATCGAAACAGTAAACAACCGCATAAGGGAAATAGGGAGCATTGGGAGAACTTCAGTAGAGAAATGGAAAGTGACTTTTATGGAAAATGCTCAGAGCAACAGAGAGAGAAATAAATGAGACAGTACAATTAAAAAACATCTCGGCAGCCGAATGGACCACCTACTTTCAGGGCCTGTACACAAACCGGGAAGAACAGAAACAACAAAGGCCCAAGGAGTGGGGAAGGTTGAACCGAGAGGAAGCCATAAACGAGGATGAAGAACAATACACGGTGGAGGAAGTGATATCCGAAATGAAGCACCTGAAAAACGGTAAATCTCCAGGTCACTCCAGGCCCAGATAACGTCCCCAAAGAACTGCTGAAGTGCGGAGGAGAAGCTCTGGCCGGACAGCTGTCAACAAAATATTGAAGGACGAAAATACACCAGCGAGATGGATACACAGCATCACAATCCCAATATTAAAAAAGGGAAAAACCTCGAATCCGGCAAACTACCGAGGAAAAGCGATATTCCTCGGTAGACACAACCATGAAATTGTTCACCCGTATGCTGCAGCAATGCATTCTCAGTTACACCACAATAAGCGAGGAGCAGCAGGGTTTTCGGAAAAACGATCGACGCACTGTGGTAGAGAAGGCAATAGAGTATAACAGCAGACCTATGCTTTATAGATTTGACGGAAGCGTTTGACAGGATAAGACTGGAGAACGTTAGCAACGAGCTGAACCGCAGGAGAATACACCCAAGCATCACGGAGACGGTCAGAAAGTTCAACACAAACAACACCACAACAATACGAACAAAATTAATAACAACGGAAAAAATAGAACAAAATACAGAGATATGGCAGGGAGATAGTCTCAGTCTACTACTGTTCAACATCATAATGGACATAATAATAGAGCAAGTGTGTAAGATAGACCAGGGATACAAGATGGGAAACCAACAAATTAAAATAATATGTTATGCAGACGACGCAATGGCTCTTACCAGTGCTGCCAGAGTTTTTCGATGACATTCCTTCAATCAAGTGGCTAAAATCCTTCATATCCTTCAAAACAGTGGCGGGTGGCCGGAACAACGAAATATTTTACCAGCAAAAAACGTTATAACTGTGGTTATAACATGAACAAAATTATTTTAATGAAAAAAAAAATATTCATATAGCCTTATGCCTGAATTACATAAGCTCTGCAACACCAAGATATAAATGCAGGCCCTGCAAGTTTGACTTTTCGTATTACAGAAGCAGAATGCAGAATTGCATTTGTTGCGCATGGCGAAACGATCCCGTAAGTTCTTGCAATCTGTTTGACAACTTTGACATTCAAAACTGGTAAATCAGTAACGCCCAAACACTTTTTTTCGATAAATATGACAGAATTGCAGATTTTTTCTGTAATTTGCTCGTTCCTGCAAATAGAGCACATATGCAAGTGGGCCATATTTGCAGAATTGCAAATTTGCAGATGCAAGTATAGTGTAATTGGGTCTTTAATCATAAATTCTGACGCAGTGGCGTAGCGAAATTAATTTATTTTAATAAAAATTAAATTTGTTGGTAAAATTATTGGAATATTTCGAGGAATATTTGCTGGATATACAATTTGCCTCAAAATCCTTCAAGTTCGGATAAAAACCTTCAATTCTTCAATAGTCAAAATTTTAGATGAGAACCCTTCATATTGAAGGAAATCCTTCAATTCTGGCAACACTGGCTCTTACAGGCATTTAAGAAAGAGGCCGAAAAAGTTAACATGGAAATATCCACCACCAAAACAAAAAGCATGGTGATCGCCAGAGAACTACGCAGATGCAAAATAGAACTAAACAACAAAATAATAGACCAGGTTTTTGAATTCAACTACCTGGGAATAACAATATCCCCATACGATGAACTCAAGAGTGGCGTACGGAACCAGGTAAACAAGACAGCCAGGATAGGAGCCTTACGAACAACCATATGGAAAAATAATGCATATCAACCCCGACCAAAGTTAGAATATATAAAGCATGTGTCAGGCCCTTAATAGGACCTAAACCCAAAAACTATTTTCCGTCTATTTTCACCGGTCAAAGTGACTTTCGCATCAAGAACTACCAATAGACTCAACCTCTAAAAATAAGAGAACGAAATGTGAAGTTTTGTAGCAACCAAGGCCCTGGATAAGAGAAGAAAACACCATATTCGGTAAGTACTCCCAAGGAAATCACAGTTGTATTTTTACCCTATGGAATTCTTATCGTCTTTTTCCCACTAAACATGTAATGTTGCAAAATTTGTCAGCAATATTGTATCGACCTTACTTTAGAAAATTTATTATGTAATGTAACGTTAAGCTTTCTAAAATATTACTTATGCAATTTGAAAAGATATAAATTTCATATAACTTTAATAGAGAAACATTCGTTTTAGTTATCAAGTAAATGTTGCAGTAGATACAATAATGTAGGTATTACATTTGAAACATTATAAAATGTAAGTAAAGCAAATATTATAACAATGATATGAAATATAATTTTTCTCAACTCTGTCGCTTTAATGTTGCGGAAATATTTACGTTTGTAACATTGGAAATATATAATAAAATAAATGGTTGCATAAATATTATAAGCTCAACTTTTCTTAAAACTGTAATGTTGCAGGTTGCAGATACCTTTACAAGCGTAAGTTAACAGTTTCAAGAATAAAAAACGTTACCTAAATATTTCAATATAAAATTTGGAATAGGAAACATAATTTTTCACAATGTTGCATAGAGCTTGCGGATAGATTTTATTTGCAATATCCTGTCTTTGTTTCTATCATGCAAAAACATATTTGACTGACAAAGACGGGACAATAATTATTTGGGAATTCGGAACGGCGCAGACGCACCACCCATTTGTTGTTGACCTTTTGACGCCACGCCACCAAAAGCCAGAACGCAGACGACGCTTCCTTTTTCTTGGCTTGATAAATAATACAAGATAATTGAACAAGGCGAAAGGGTTCATCAAGATCTTGAGATGTTGGGAGGGGAAGAGAATAAAGCCAATGTTGTAAGATTTTAACATTTTAATTTTTTGTGATATTTTGATACTGTTTAATTTTTAATTTTAGGTGGCTTCTTTACAATACCTATGTTGGAGAAATCGAGGCATGTGTGATAAGATCAATTGGAAATTGGAAGTTTATCAACTAACTATTGTGCTCGGTCTGTAGTGCGAATGCCAGAAAAGAGAATTTGAAAATAAAGGATCTTGCATTAATGCAAATCCTTACGATATATTAAATATCTATCATATATACAATATTTCATTATGTACATTTCTGTAAAGTACAAAAAAAAAATATTGCAACTGCGATATTTATCTAAGTTTATAAACAACGTTGGATGCAGGTTTCTGTAAGCTAGCATTTTTAATGTTACAAACGTAATTTATTTTTTATGAAAATACAAGTTTGAGGCGATATTGCAGAAAAGTTTATTCTGTAAACATTGCATTTGTGAATATTAGAATAAGTCCGTTTCAGTAATTGCAGCAACCTTGCACTTATATAGCAGCAATAAAAAATTAAATATTACAATATTATCTAGAAACAAGCTCAAATCCAGCAATTAAATTAAGTCTATTGCGTGTAAGTGTGAGCTAACATGGCACGAACCAATGAAATGAGAATACTAAGAATGATCACAGGGAAAACACTTTGGAATCAAAGAAGGAATAACGAAATCACGAAAGAATGCAAGACAGAGGACGTGGTTAGATGGACACGCGCTAGGAGACGTTTCTGGAACCAGCACATATCCAGGATGGAAAACCACAGACTGGCAAAAATCGCTAGAAATGAAAAACCAGCATCCAGATCAGGGTGGCCTCCTAAAAGGTGGAAGGACAGCTGGTCGTCGGCATCCCAGGAGGGACAAATAAATGGGTAAAACAAGCCTTAAGGCTTTCGCAAAGAAGAAGAAGAAGAAGTAATCAAGTAAATCTTCGAAATATGAATTCTAAATATTTTTAGTTCCTAATTGGATTAGTTGTGTATCTTCAGTTCAGAGAGAGTAACCCAGATCAAGATACAGGAATGAGCAAAAGTTGAATGATGAAAATAATAATTTGGAATATTCTCAGCTCCTAATTGGGTGAGTTTATATCTTTGATTCAAACAAAACTTATCCAATCAAGAGCCAGGAATAGACAAAAAAGTAAGATTTCAAGTTTAATTCATGTTCTCATTATTTCCGGCTCATAATTGGGTTTCTGATCGATTGAAGAGTTTCTGAGATATGATGAATGAAACTAACTGAAATAATCAAGAAGTAAAACTTCGAAATTTTAATCTTTTTAGCTCCTAATTGAATTAGTGGTATAATTATCTTCATCAGTTAAAAAAAAAAAGTAACAGGAACAAGAGACAAGAATGCGCAGGAGTTTTGGATGATTTCCTGCTCTCAATTGAGTTACTCTTAAAGTCACTAAATCAAGATCCAAAAATAATCAAAAATAATGTTTTCAATATTAACTTCCAATTTTTCTCTGCTCTCAATTGTTTTTAGATTTTGACCAATAAAGCATGTTTCAAACGTCAAATGTCTAGACTTAAAAATAACTGAAAATGAGAAAATCGTCTCTGAAACTTTCCAGTTACCAATTCTCAACTAGTCAACACGCAAACAAGGCTGTCGCCAAGATGTCAAGAATGTTGATCACGGAAAATTACCTATATTTCAATGCAAATAAACTATAATGTGATGTTTTTCTAGCTGTAATCAAAACAAAATAAATTGAAGTTTAAGATACAGTTTTTCTACTCTAGATAGATAATTAATTATCAATCATGTATGATTATCTAATGACTCATTAAAAATTTGATGTTGAGAGTGAGTAATAATCTCTCAATATTGTTCTCATTCTAGTGAGTAATTGTAGCTGTTTTTACTTACGTGGATGCCGAATAAACACCGGAAATCGATTGGTTGGTACCATAGGGATGTCTATCCAAGTCCGCCATCGTCGAATAAAATGTAGATGAATCCGATTATTCTGTAGGAGAGAAACAAAAAGATCGTTTGCACAAATTAGAACTACAAAAACCAATACCGGAAAAAATTATTAAAATTTTTGTATAATATCGATTAGTCCAAGTCACTTTTCAGATAATTTTATATTTGGAAAAACCAGTTTTTGTGGTTTCTAGAATATTTTATTAGCACACATTATTAGTCAGTGGTTTAATGCCAAAATTATAACGCTTTCGACTACGAGTAAAATGTATTCTTATCCATGAATTACTTCCGTTAATACTTGGATTTTACCAGAATTATGCGTTATCTTTTCTCATTGTTTTATACTCAGGTATATACCTGAATTATGCATTTTTAATCTCAGTTAAGATAACATTCAATATTTATATAAATCTGACAAAGGGAATTATGTAGCTTAAAAACTATGTCTAGAAATTTGTTAGGTTTGGGATTAACTCAAAAAACATGATATAAAATGTTGTAAATTATTGGTGATTTTTGAAAATTTTCTGGTACATAACAGCTTATATAGATCAATAATAGAAGTTCACCCCTAGTGGATTTTTGTGTGTGTTTTTTTAGATCCATAATAAAGACAATCCCCAAATATACGCACTTCTTAAACAAATACTTACTTATCGTAGGTAGGTAATTGTTAAACACCTTAATATTTACAAAGACAAGTTTGTTTTAGAAGTATACATAATTTTAAAACAATAATGAATTTATAAAAAAATTACCTCAAAAACATCAACACACAAACGTTGGTAGACTTAGTTTGCGGAAGCCACTTCAACAACTGAAACAAAATTACCAAACTTTTAGTCTGATTGCAAGAATAATTAGACTCTTATCAATTTTAATTAAGATTATGATACAAGGTAAACCAAAAAACTGTTTAATAAATGCAAAATAATAGTAGAGGTAAGTAGGTACTTACCCATATTATCTCAACAAGGCTTATATCGAATAGGTAACCTTCGCACAATATACTTATTGCATTTACTTTCTATTTTGTTATTTTTGCACTGCGTTGATGTGAAGTTGTCTACTCACTATAAGTATACGAAATAAAATGGCAATTTTGCTATATAAATGCATTCAAGTTACAAGTCAGGCACCGGTATTTAGGTAACCATTATTTTATGTCGGATGTTGTATAATTAACAAATAGTCTATGATGGTAATGTAATGACAATGTTTATGCAACTTCAAATGGACTGTAATCATCAAGGATTTTAATTTATGGTAATCTTTCAAAATGAAATTACATAATACAGGTGGTTCCAAGAGGCTCTTGATTTTAATAATTGAGCGGTTAGTATCTACAAGTCAAGAGGCTTTTGTATCATCAAAATTTGAAATTACTTGGTATTGTAAACTTAATTGCATACTTTCAAATACGATTAATTTATGATTCAATTATTAAAGATTAGGTAGTGACAGCTGATTTTCAATGACAATAAATTTTTGACAAAGGTAACGACGTCAGATTACCTTTCCTGCATTGATTAATGAAGCTAATTTTTAATTATTATTTGTATATTTTTAGATTTATTACCATTAATATGGATAACAGAAGATTTCCTGTCCTGGAGTGAGACTTCATTCCGGTAAGCCCTACATTTTCTAAAAATTCAATTTTAGCACTTGTTGATTGAATGAGTACCTGCCTGAAACGGTCAGTAGATATTCTGGTAAAGTTTGTAGGTAGAATGAGACTCAGATTTGCACAAAATGAAATATCTCAGAATTTTGCACAAAAAAACCATACCCATCTAACCCATCTGAGAAGAAGTTTAACCATTTCTGAGCGAGAAAAATTTGAATGCCTCTACCAATTGCCTTCATGGATAGAGAAAGTGCATTAATACATATATTTAAAAGCATGTTAGTATTACATACATAATTATACTGATTGGGAAATTTCTCGCGCATGACTCAGAAAGATCAGAAATTATCAATCGAGACGAGAATACGCTCTCTCTCGTCTTGTCTCGAAAGTTCGAGAGAACATAATTTCTCGACGAGAGACCCTCGATGCGAGATTAGAGAGTTCTTCCCTCGTCTCGTCTTGATTTCTCTCCCAAAAGAGAATAATTTCGGACTACGAGGTCAAGAAAATATTCAGAAATGTATTCTCGCTCGATGTAATATTACCCATGATACCCAAGGCTCTGGAAAATATTGGACTACGTAGGTAACTTATTATCATCACATTGATGTTAGGAACCTAACACTCTGTATATTCAAAGATCAACTTATAAAAATACATAAAACAAAACAGTCTGTATTTAGTTATTTTAAGCATTCATAAGCAATATAACAATAAGAATAAATTTATATTGCTTGAGAGAGCGAGAGAACTCGAGAAACAGCATTCTGTTATTTTGTCTTGAAGTGTCTTTTCGAGAGAAAATTGGAGACGAGAGACAGGAATCTCGGCATCACTAACCAGTAAATGACTCGGTGAAACAGAGGGAGAGGAATCAAAAATTGGGAACAGATAAATCCAAGGGAGAGAGAATGAGAGTAACCATAGAAAACTTTGAACCGAGGGGTAAACCGTAGGTCAGTTCTTGTACACCTAGATCGTAGTTTTAGGGGAAATTATGAATGATGGACTGGCTTCCTTAAGATTTCCCATGATTTCTTTAAAACTTACCTTGAGTTTCTTGAGATTTCCTTTGATTTCCTGTGATTTCCCTATAATTCCTCCCTGATTTCTTCGGATTTCCTCTTGATTTCCTTTCATTTATACACCAGATTGCGGTTTTAGAGAAAATCATGGATGATTTTCCATAACCCTTTGATTTCTTCTGATTACCAGTAAGATTGCCCAAGAGCATATAACTTCAAACTATAAAGATTTAAGCGGATGCGTTAGATCTAGAAATTAACTGATTTTTTTTTAAAGATTTCTCATAATTCCCTTGAGATTTCCTTCGAGCTCTTCAAGATTTCCCTTGATTTCCTCATGATTGTCCCTGATTTCCTTAGGATTTCCTCTGGGCTGTATCAAATAAAGATATTTTCTCTATCCCCTTTCTATTGATTTCGAAAAGAGAGAAGACGACAACAAGTGCCATAGCGATAGGGATAATGATCTCTATCCGTTACAGAGTCCCAGCCCTGAATGCCTTTGATTTTCTCGAATTTTCTCTTGATTTCCTCCAATTTGTACTCCAGATTGCGGTTCTAGAGAAAATCATGGATGTTTTTTCCTGGTTTCCCTTGATTTCTTCTGATTACTAGTAATCAGACTGATTACTCAGTAAGATTTTAGAAAACTGCGTATGCATTAAATCTAGAAATTAACTGATTGACTCTTGACTCCTTAAGATTTCCCATGATTCCTTTGAAATTTTCTTCAAGTTCTTCAAGATTTCCCTTGATTTCTTCATGATTGCCCCTGATTTCCTTAGGATTTTCCCTGGGCTGGGACTTTGTATCGAATAGAGATATTTTCTCTATCCCCTTCTATTGATTTCGGAAAGAGACAGCAAGTGCCATAGCTATAGGGATAACGATTTCTATCTATGACAGAGCCCCAGCTCTGATTGCCTTTGATTTTTTCGGATTCCATTTTGATTTCTTCCAATTTGTACACCAGATTGCGGTTTTAGAGAGAAAATCATAGATAATTTCCCCTGATTTATTCTGATTACCAGTAACTTTGCCCAAGAGTTCCTCTGATAACATAACCTCAAACTATAAAGATTTTAGAAAACTGCGCATACATTAGATCTAGAAATTAATTAAACTGCTGGACAATTGCTTTCGAACAGAAGAAAAATTTTGCCTAACTTTGAAGGTCGATATTTTTGGAACCAAAACATTAACCTCAGGTTTCCATACACAATTTTTTTCACAAAAAGTCAAATCGGAGGTCGATATTTCGTCTGGTTCCAAAAATATTGAGCTTGAATGTTAGGCGGAATTTTTTTTTCTGTTCGAAAGCAATTGTCCAGCAGTTTATTTCCTCAAGATTTCCCATGATTCCCTTAAGAATTCCTTTGATTTCTTCAAGATTTCCCTTGATTTCCTCATGATTGCCTATTATTTCCTTAGGATTTCCCCTAGGGTAAGACTCTGTAACGAATGAAGACATTTTCTCTACATCTCTATTGATTTCGAGAAGAGAGAAGAAAACAGCAAGTGCCACAGCAATAGGAACAACGATCTCTATCCGTTACAGAGTCCCAGCTCTGATTGCCTTTGATTTCCTTGGATTTTCTCTTGATTTCCTCTGATTTGTACACCACCAGATTGATAACATAAAGATTTTAGAAAACTGCGCATGCATTAGATCTAGAAATTGACAGATTTCCTTAAGATTTCCCATGATTCCCTCTAGTTTTCGTTTGAGTTCTTTAAGATTTGCCTTGATTTCCTCATGTTTGCCTCTGATTTCCTTAGGATTTCCCCTGGGCTGGGACTCTGTAACGATTAAAGATATTTTCTCTACATCCCTTTTGATTTTGAAAAGAGAGAAGAAGACAGCAAATGCCAAAGCGATAGGGATAACGATTTCTATCCATTACAGAGTCCCAGTCCTGATTGCCTTTGAATTCTTCGGATTTCTTCTCGATTTCCTCTAATTTGTACACCAAATTTCGGTTTTATAGAAAATTATAGATGATTTTCCATAATTTCGTCGGATTTCTTCTGATTACCAGTAACATTGTCCAATAGTTTGGATTTCTTTTGATTACCAATAACAAGAGTTTCCCTGATAACATAACCTCAAACTAGAAAGATTTTAGAAAAATGCGCATGCGTTAGATCTAGCAAATTGACTGATTTTCCTAAGATTTCCCATGATTCCCATAAGATTTTCTTTTAGTTCTTCAAGATTTCCCTTGATTTCCTCATGACTGCTTCTGATTTCCTTAGGATTTCCCCTGGGCTGGGACTCTGTAACGAATAGAGATATTTTCTCTTTCCCCTTTTTGATATCGAAAAGAGAGAAGAAGACAGCAAGTGTCACAGCCCTGATTGCCTTTCATTTTCTTAGATTTTCTACTTGCTTTCCTCCAATTGAAATTCGGTTTTAAAGAAAATCATGGTTTCCCTTGATTTCTTCTGATTATCAGTAAGATTGCCCAAAAGTTTCCTTGATAGCATAACTTTAAAATATAAAGATTTTTGAAAACTGCGCATGTTTTAGATTTAAAAATTACCTGATTTCCTCAAGATTTTCCTCGATTCCCTCTCATTTCATTATGATTTCCCCCGAATGCCTTAGATTTTCTTGGATTTCCTCTTGATTTGCCCTAATTTGTACACCAGATTCCCCTCGCGGTTCAAGATACTCAATTGAAATAGAATTCAAGACACGTTTAAGCAAATAATTTGGACACCATGTATACTTAAATCAAAAAATAAAGATAGTTTAGGAGAAACTAGACTAACATGTGAATTTGTGAAGGAAATTAAGAACCAGTGGCGAAAATATATGACCATCTAAAAAAGTATGTTTTTTTCTATATACGCTGTATTCAACCCAAATAAGAATTTAAAGTTGAATATCTACAGGACCCATAGAGGCTGTAGCTTTTCGTATTACACTTTTCTGGGATATCATGCATACCTTCTTGAAAATAATTTTAGGTTATAGCAGAGATGGAATGTAGGTAAAACTTTTATACTGAACATTTTTCTATAAGTTCAACAGTTTGGCTATTATTCACCGAGGCGCGTTTATGTTGGACCATCCTGTATAGTCTCCTTATACATATTCTCTTAAAAATTGATCACTCTGAATAGCTAAGGGTGGGTATTATAAAACTACTTTGAGAGTTAACTTAAAGTTAACTTCTGGAATTACATGTAATTCAAAAAGTTAACTTTAAGTTAACTGTCAGGGCCGGTATTCTCGTTCTCGAAAACGCACACCGCTTTTAAGTCGCTCGGCATTTCTAATGTAAATTTACATTAGAAGTGCCGAGCGACTTAAAAGCGGTGAGCGTTTTCGAGAACCAGAATACCGACCCAGAGCAGTTTTATAATACCCACCCATGTAACTTCGTCCTACTAAGGGCCGATTTATCAGTGGATAGTTATTTCGTTTGGCTGTCCGTTAACTTATACTTATTATTGGTTAGTCGACAGCTTAACTAAAAACTGTCCACTGATAAACCGGTCCTAAGGGCTGTTACCTTAAGGTACAGAATAACGTCAAGTCATTCCCAGTACGAGTTTCACCGTATATCAGGATTCTCTTAATTTAAGGTGGACTTACGACTCACCTAAAAAAACTTATTCCAAGTTTACCTTAACGTTAAGGGTACCTTAACTAAGTCTTGATTATAAGGTTTCATTGAAATACCGGCCCTAAGAGTAAATTTTACAGATTATTAAAACTACAAAAATTGTTTATCGGAAATCATTTTTTTATCATATTCAGCGCAGCGTAATAGCTGCCGGAGACCATGGCAAAAATCGCTAGAAATATTATAAATACATTTTTTATCAGCTTCCATTGGTACCTGCCCCAGCCCTCTTCGTAGTCGACGATTATTTCGAGAGTAGCCGGAATCAGGAACCCGAGCGAGGAGAAAAATATGGCTCCGACAAAGTCGATCAAGGAACCCAAGTCTTCACCTCCTGCTATTGCCACAACTGGAAAAAGAAAATCTAATCAGAATCCTGGAAATTCCAAAAAATAATCCTTATACAGGATTCATCAGAATATAATCAAGATGGTTAACTGTGTAACGAGAGTATCCCAAGCAGCATTTTTAGTCGTTCATTATCTTCTGATCACTTATACTGACTACAACCGTATCATTTTCGAAGTTTCTGACAATCAATTTACTGAATTTACCTGTTACAACTGCCACCATAATGATTCTGAGCAAAATCTGAGCCAAATTGTGCCGGTCTTCAGCAATACTATTTCTCAACCGCTTCCACATAATGTCAGTAGGTATGTAGAATTGTAGCATGAAAGAGAAAAATACCGAAATAGCTATGGCTGCTTGGACTATCTGAGCTGGACTACAAAGGAAAAATATTTATTTCATTAATTAAATAATACTCTCTCATACATTTCTCCATCTGGCAAGTTTTTGGTTATGGTTACTTCAGTCAATTCTCCGTATCGGTAGTAACCCAAAAATCCAATGGAAGTAAAAAAGAAGACGATAACAACCATTGCAGAATTAAGGACGCCGCAGGAACCTAAAAATTGCCGCTCAGGCATCGAGTTTTCCACTGGCATTATGGTACCGATCCCTTCCATTGCAAACAGTACCGTACTGAAAAAAGATGGAATACCTACAAACAAAAAAATTGTATTAAAAATTTAAATCTATTATCATGGATGATATTTACCTGCAAATCCGTTGCCCATATGTAGTTCACCCTTTTCAACTTCGCCTAATCCACTGAAAATATAGTACCCGGTGATACCGAAGGCTACAGCCAACATGACGTTGGCTATGAAGGAAAATGGTACCATATGTTTGATCTCTCTTATTTGACAGAGCATCATTAGTAGTACCATGATGATGAGCTTCAGCGCGTAGCGATCCCAGGCGGCCGCTTCTGGATAGTAAAAGCTGAAGAGCTAAAAAATAATATGAATTTTTCATCAAAAACTAGAAACTTCCAGTGGTTCAAATTTATTCAACAGCATTTTGGATAACCTCAATCGTACCTATAATTCTAACCTTACCTTAGTCAAAGATACTGATATAAACACCATATAAACAGCCACTCCGAGGTAATAGGTAGACACTAGCGCAATCTCTACAAACGTTCTAAAAACATTAAAAATCCAAACTTAGCGGAATATTTTTTTTACATATTGATGGTAATTTACTTGGCAAACCCTGACCACGGCCTCAAACGTTTCGGACCTTGTTTGAAGACTTCTTCGGCGGTATCGGCGAACCCTAGGCTCGGGATTTTGCCGCGTTGACATACTTTTTCTGAAGTTTGAACCTGAAGAGGAATAATGCAGAATATTAGCTGGATGGATATTGGTGAGATCAAGTGTGCTTTGGGTTTGTTATTTCAAGCTGCATTTTTAGTCGTTGGTACGACCTGGCGACTATTATTGGGGACTTGTAAAGTTGTGATTCCTGGTAACGGTAACGTTATTGCTACGATCCTATTACGTGTCTACGACCATAATAAGGAACATTTTGAAGGTGACAGTTGAATATAAATTACTACCCTGGATATAATAGCTCTACGTCGCATTTACGTTCCAATTAAGAATCAGATTCCAAACTTTCAGGATTTATTATTCAGGATCTTTTTATCAAACAAGGAAAATTTGAAGTTAATTTGACGCTCAGAAATGAAGTTATGAGGTTTTTCCCAACTTGATACCTAACAATTCATATTAAATCACCTATGAAAAATCCTGAAAAATACTTTGGATGCATTTTAAACTTACAGAATTTATTAACTAGGTTCTTTTTATCGAACAAGGAAAATTTAAAGTTAATTTGAGACTCAGAAATGAAATTATGAGGTTTTCCCAAATTGCTACCAAAAAAAGTTGTAAAATTTACGTTCAATCACCTTTGGAAAATCCTGAAAAATATTTAGGAGAGTCAGATCCATTTCAAACTCCTAGGATCTATTAATTACGATATTTTCATCAAACAAGGCAAGTTTGAAGTCAATTTGAGAATTGGAAATTAAATTAGGAGATTTTTGTAACTTGATAACAGAAAAAGTTGTAAAATTCCCGTTAAATCACCTTCGAAAAAGCCTGAAAAATATTTCAAAGTATCAGATCCATTTTAAACTTCCAGTATTTATTAATTAGGTTATTTTTATCAAACAAGGAAAATTTGAAGTTAGTTTGAGACTCAGAAATGAAATTATGAGGTTTTCCCAACTTGCTACCAAAAAAAGTTGTAAAATTTACGTTCAATCACCTTTGGAAAATCCTGAAAAATATTTAGGAGAGTCAGATCCATTTCAAACTCCGAGGATCTATTAATTACGATATTTTCATCAAACAAGGCAAATTTGAAGTCAATTTAAGAATTGGAAATTAAATTAGGAGATTTTTTTTTAACTTGATAACAGAAAAAGTTGTAAAATTCACGTTAAATCACCTTCGAAAAAGCCTGAAAAATACTTCAAAGTATCAGATCCATTTTAAACTTCCAGTATTTATTAATTAGGTTATTTTTATCAAACAAGGAAAATTTGAAGTTAGTTTGAAGCTCAGAAATGAGATTATGAGATTTTTACCAACTTGATACCAGAAAAAGTTGTAAAATTCATGTTAAATCACATTTGGAAAATCCTGAAAAATATTTAGGAGAGTCAGATCCATTTCAAACTTCTAGGATCTATTAATTACGATATTTTCATCAAACAAGGCAAATTTGAAGTCAATTTGAGAATTGGAAATGAAATTAGGAGGTTTCTTCCAACTTGATAACAGAAAGAGTTGTAAAATTCACGTTAAATCACCTTCGAAAAAGCCTGAAAAATATTTCAAAGTATCAGATCCATTTTAAACTTCCAGTATTTATTAATTAGGTTATTTTTATCAAACAAGGAAAATTTGAAGTTAGTTTGAGACTCAGAAATGAAATTATGAGGTTTTCCCAACTTGCTACCAAAAAAAGTTGTAAAATTTACGTTCAATCACCTTTGGAAAATCCTGAAAAATATTTAGGAGAGTCAGATCCATTTCAAACTCCGAGGATCTATTAATTACGATATTTTCATCAAACAAGGCAAATTTGAAGTCAATTTAAGAATTGGAAATTAAATTAGGAGATTTTTTTTTAACTTGATAACAGAAAAAGTTGTAAAATTCATGTTAAATCACATTTGGAAAATCCTGAAAAATATTTAGGAGAGTCAGATCCATTTCAAACTTCTAGGATCTATTAATTACGATATTTTCATCAAACAAGGCAAATTTGAAGTCAATTTGAGAATTGGAAATAAAATTAGGAGGTTTCTTCCAACTTGATAACAGAAAAAGTTGTAAAATTCACGTTAAATCACCTTTGAAAAATCCTGAAAAATACTTTGGAGTATCAGATTCATTTTAAACTTCCAGTATTAATTAATTAGGTTCTTTGTATCAAACAAGGAAAATTTGAAGTTAATTTGATGCTCAGAATTGAGATTATGAGAATTTTACCAACTTGATACCAGAAAAAGTTGTAAAAGTCACGGTAAATCACCTTTGAAAAAGCCTGAAAAATACTTTGGAGTATCAGATTCATTTTAAACTTCCAGTATTAATTAATTAGGTTCTTTGTATCAAACAAGGAAAATTTGAAGTTAGTTTGAAGCTCAGAAATGAGATTATGAGATTTTTACCAACTTGATACCAGAAAAAGTTGTAAAATTCATGTTAAATCACCTTTGGAAAATCCTGAAAAATATTTAGGAGAGTCAGATCCATTTCAAACCTCTAGGATCTATTAATTACGATATTTTCATCAAACAAGGCAAATTTGAAGTCAATTTGAGAATTGGAAATAAAATTAGGAGGTTTCTTCCAACTTGATAACAGAAAAAACTGTAAAATTCACGTTAAATCATCTTTGAAAAAGCCTGAAAAATACTTCGGAGAATCAGATGCATTTTAAACTTCCAGAATTTATTAACTAGGTTCTTTTTATGAAACAAGGAAAATTTGAAGTTAATTTGAAGCTCAGAAATGAAATTATGAGGTTTTTCCCAACTTGATACCTAACCATTCATGTTAGGAAAATTTAAAGTCAATTTGAGGGTCAGAAATAAAATTATGATGATTTCTCCAAATTCATAACAGAAAAAGTTGTAAAATTTACGTTAAATCACCTTTGGAAAATCCTGAAAAATACTTCGGAGAATCAGATCCATTTCAAACTTTCAGGATTTATTAACCAGGATCTTTTCATCCGATAAGGCAAATTTGAAGTTGATTTGAGGCTCCTAAATAAAATTATGGGGTTTTTTCCAACTTGATACTAGACTCAAATTTATGTAACTCACTTTTGGAAAATTCTTAAAAATATTTCGGAAAATTAGATCCATTTGAAACTTTCAGGATTTATTAACCAGGAACTCTTCCTTAAGCAAGGTAAATCTGAAGTCAATTTGAGGCTCAGAAATAAAACTATGAGGTATTTCCAAGCTAAATAAGTGTGACTTGGAAAATCATAATTTCTACCTTGATCTATAGGCAAACAATAAGGATAATAATGTGTATTATCTTATAAATTAACTGAACTCGCCTATGAAGTTTTCGCAGTGTTGCCAATTGGTTTCAGGCAAGGAAACTTACTACTAAAACTTGTTGAAACACTAAAGAAACTCATTTTGTTGAAAGTTGTTAGTAAGTAAAATACTTCTTTGACCATCAAAATCTAAAAATTTGATAGTCAATTAACTTACCAAAATATATACAGTGTGCGTACACAAAATTCCTATTAAAATGTTGCCTACAAGGCCTACTATAAGTCCGGCACTCTTGAATGCTCTCGGTACAGCTAGGATTCCAGTGCCCAACGACGATTTGACTAAGTGCAGGAAAGCTCCTAAAAAACTACAAAATAATGTAAACTTTTAAAAAAATCCTTAAATACTTTAATTGTTTTTGGGTTTTACCTGTAACTTACTTATTTGGATGGCTCAATATCCTGTGTTCGTGAGGTTGATACAATTTTTCTGAATCATTTTGTGGGTTTATGTCTATTTTAAGTGTATTTACTAATTCTGTTCTAAAATAAATTTTATTAATACGAAATATATTTTTTTAAAAAATAACATACTTGGAGTTAAATGTTTCCAATTTAGGAATTGCCAAATGATTCTTTTTCTCGCCCATCTTGCATCACAATACGCTTAAAAATAAAAACAGATTTCACTAAATCACTGTAACACCTATTCGAGATGAAGTGATTTATTTCCATTGACGTAGCAGATTTGAATGATTGAACTTGAAACAAAGCATTTTAATCTTTTAAGGTAAGGACAAAAAATAATTCCGATAATATTGATTTTATAGGTAGGTACTTGAAAAAAATAATAGAAAATGAATACAATGAAATGGAAAATAACTATTGCTTGAACAATGTAGGTATGTCGATTTTCTTATTGCATCATTGAAAAAATAGGAAAATATATATGATAGCAGTTATTATGTATTAATCTGTAACTTACCTAAAAATGCAAAATTGTATCAAAATTCTAGTTTTATTTTGGACGCACGAGATTTACATGTTGCCATTCCACAGCTGACTACTCAAAAAACAATAATTTTCAGATTTGCACATTCTACCAGGTACCATCAAAAAAATCCTGCAATTTGGAAAAAGTACAAATTCATTGAGATTGGCTAATTGCCACCACCTGACAAATTTAATCCTAATTGTTTGCATTATTGACACTATAATACGAATACAATGGTTTAGGTAAATATTTGTTGAGATAAATTGTTAGATATTGTTAAAATGTAGGTACATGTAAAATTGAGAAAAATACAGAGGGTTTATTGGAATTTTTCCAAAAAAAATATTTTTGCTTATTGTGTGAAAAATGCTTAATTGATTTTTAATTACTTTTGTATTTGTGTTATTGAGTATATTTTTATTTTTTAGTTGTATCAATAAATATAGGGTGTCTAAAGGAATGTTTCTGGATAGGTTTAGATAGATCCTCAGGGTTGCAGACCTTTTCCTATATATTCCATAAAACTGATGCATTAATTAATATCCCAATTAGTGGGATGAGGTAGCTGAAAATTATACCAGAATATTTCACGTCTGGCAATCAATGCGCCTTTTTGGGTTCAGACTTTTCGAAATACTTTGATAAGGATGTCTATCATGAGGTTCTCGTAAACGGTAATAGATACGGAAATGGTTAAATGGGAAAAAAGTTTCGTTATTGAATGACTTATAATATGCATGCAAGATATTTTCAAAATTGTTAATTTTTAAAAAAAAAATGTTGGATGCATTTTGTTATTCATTAAATAAACTTTTTTTCCATTTAACCATTGCCGTATCTGTTACTGTTTACGAGATCTTATGATAGATAGGTCAGTGACATGGAGCCACACTTAAGGGATAATTATAATGTACAATATTATTCCAGTTTAATAGCCAAATATAATAACATCATATTCAAGGTAAACCAAATAAAATATTTAATTCACTTGTGATCAACAATCACTCTCGGAGCACTGTCCTTCACATACACAAAGTTTCGTATAAGGTATTCCCATTCTAACACATTTACAAGATGTGCATCGCTTTCGACAAGCACAAGAGGTAAATTATACACAGTGTTTTGACACTTCTGGAATTGTTGTCCACATAGGTTGGTATGATCCTCCTGAAGTTAACATACATCCCTATAGTTGGTTGGCGAAGGTATTGTGTATTGTGAATCGAGCCTGTTGTTCCAGATTCTTGTAGATTGTTTGATGTGAATAACACTCGTCGACATCCAGACTTTCCAAGCCGTCTTCTTGCCAATGCCACAAAATGTGGAAACTGTGTTGTCGCAACCAGTAACAGAATGAAAAGCCAACAAATTTCTGTAAATTTCTGGTGAAAGTGCGGCACAAATCTTATGAATTGCAATTAATTTTCTCTATTTCCTACAACCATACTTAATCCATGGTTCATCAATATCTTGTATTTGTGGGAACAGTGATATTGAAATAACCACTACATCTGATTCCACAGTTGGAATTAAGACGCGAGTATATCCACTTTCTACTGCATATTTAACAAGGCGAAGTAAACGGCCATCTGCTTCTTCGTGTGAGGCGGGAGAAATGCTTGAAACATCCATAATAGTTGTTGACGTAAGGATTTGGTCATCATAAGTACAAACAATATGTTTTCCTGGATACTCGTCTCTCACCATTTCCTCAGCGAGCAACTGGAACAATTGTGTCTTATTTCCGTTAAAGCATAGCAATTGCCTTGGAATTCTATATAAACTGCTGGACAAATGAAACGGAACAAGGGAATTTTTAGTTCAACTTTGGATTCCAATATTACGCGAACCAGAGAAGAAATCAATGAGCGATTTGCGTAATTTAAAAGATAATTTCCCAAATCGCTCATTGATATCTTCCTAAGTTCGCGTAATATTGGAATTTAAAGCTAACCTTGTTCCGTTTCATTTGTCCAGCAGTTTAGTTGAGTTTGAGACTTTAATATTATGCAACTTCCTCTACTTTCTCGGGTATCTGCCTTCAAACTGTTACCAACATATCTATTCGTGAACTATTCTTCAGTTGATTTGTGAAATATGGTTTGAAAACATGTTCATAGTAGTATAGGAAAATGTGCTATCATGTATGTGTATTACAGCTGCTCCATTAAATATTTTAGCTGTTACATTCGGTTGGCTGGGATTGAAGCTAATTTTGTTCGAAAGCAGTCAATAATATCCGACTTGTTGATTGATTTGCGGAGTTTTCCATCATCTGAAATAGATAGTGGCAACATTTGGTTTTCATGCGAAAAGAACTCATTAATGTTGCCATCCCGTGTTTCAGATGCGACATACAATCTGCAGAACAAGTTGGAATCTTTACGCAACAGCAATCTTGGACTCTGACTTGTCTGTTTTTCTTGTAATAGTCTTGAAGATGTGAATAGTGGTCCAAGGAATAATTTCTTGGATTGAATTTTGAACTTGATTGAGAACGAATGAGACATATTCATTATACTGCTTCACTCCTAAAGTAAATGCTTCCCTAACACACTTCACAGCTTCGATATTTGGAATTAGTTTGGAGCTTCCTATTGACACCAAGACATTATTCATTTTTTTAACATAGGCCGAAAACCTTTTCTCAAATGCATTATTATCCTTATGATGCTTCGTTAAAATCCATAACTACCTCAATCTACTATCAGCTAAACAATTTATTTAACTATAATGTAGATTGATATTATTGTCAATAGTATTTTCTATAATCTTTCTATTGCTAGAATAAAAAAATTTTACTTCCATAGAATAAATAGTAGAGTTATAATGCACTAGCAAGCAAAAAATATTAACCTTTGTGCTAAATTTTGGTTAATATAAACGTTAGGCATATTAAAAAAGTTGTTTTTAAGGTGTTGCACTTTACTTTTGTTTTCGCTATAAGATTGCTTTAAGTTGAATTTTCAACATTTTTATATATTTACATTTAAGACAATGATTTCGAAATTTTTTGGGGGCACTTCATGAAAAAATCTATTTATACTAGAACTGCTCTAGTTTCTTTATTAACTTTATGTTCTTTCAGCAGTTTTGCAGCAGTTGGATAACTGTATTCCAATATTGGAACTTAGGACATTCAGATGTTTTTGACAAAATCCACAGTTCAATGCCTTGTCCACTGATGCTGGAATTTGTTACGCATGCTTTGTTGAATGCTGTAGACAATCCAAGGCAGTTAAAGTAACTTCGTATACGTACCGAGATCTTTTTACATGCGACGATGTGAGGCAGGATTCTGCAACACCAGAACTTGCAATACCAGTGGTTGTCACTAATTCAGTTAACCACTTGCCAAATAAGTTGATGACCATCATTTCTGTGTGAAGGCCACCCACCATGAATATGATGTGATACTCACCATACTTGTCAGAAAACTTCCATTACAGTTGCTTCCTAATAGCATATACTGGTTGGTCACATGTAATCACGAGAGCTTGATTTCTACTGTAACCATTATTATGATATCCATCATTTTGCTGTCACCATTATTATGATCATTATGATATCCATCATATGCCGTACCATTGTTGGAGTCGCAATTTGGTCATTTAGAAGTGGAAGCAATGACACATTACACTTTATATTTCTAAAACCTGGCTCATTTTGTGTATAAAAAGCAGTGAACAATACTCTTTGCATATGCTCTAGTCCTCGTATGTCTTCAAAATGCAATCTCTCCAGGACATAGTTAAGCCAAGGATTTAAGACTTTCCTAGGAGTGACGGCAGGATTATGGTCTGTGTACTATGGATTGACAGCTGGGTAAAGAGGGTCACCTCTACCAGTTGCAGGAAGAGTAGTGTAATATTCAGGAAGGCTATTGACAATTTCATTGTTCCACTGCTGGATACGCACGCTGTCATTTTCAATCTCCATAACTGTGTCACTGTGGAAATGCTAAATAATCGTAACACTTGAACCATGGAAAGAAGTAACGGGCATAACGGCAGTAGAAAAACATTGATTCAAGGGCGTAGGAATTTCAAGTTCATTTACTTTTCCAGATACCGTGACGTCATAGGCAGAGTGAGCTCTGAACAAGTACATAAGCCGAGACCAGATCGAAAAAAAAAAAAACAACAGAATAGTGTAAATGGCCAAATTCATGTTCTTCTGGGAATGTACTAAACTTAAACTGATTTAGTGTTAGTGTAAAACTGGGGCAGCACGGCTTTTACCAACAGAATACAGTACTACACCTTTTCCATATGTATTTCAGACTATTTCAGTGCGTATTTCAGAGATCATCAGTTTAATTTCAGAATGCGTCAATTGAAATTCAGCTTTGTAAATTGTATTTCGGAAAGCGTCAATTGTATTTCAGATTAGTTAATTTTATTTGAGAAAAAATCAATTGTATCCCAGATTAGTTTATTTTATTTCAGAAAGTGTAAATTGTATTTCGGATTAGTCAATTTTATATCGGAAAGCGTCAATCGTATTTCAGATTAGTTGATTGGAGTTCAGAAATGGTCAGATGTAGTTCAGAAATTAGGTACATTAATAATATCTGAAATACATTTGACGGATTCTGAAATACAATTTACAATTTCTGATCTACAAATAAATAATCTGAAACTCAAATGACGATTTCTGAAATACAAGTGACCAAAATGAAATACAAATGACTTTTTCTGAAATACAACTGACCAATCTGAAACACAAATGATGTTTTCTGCAACTACAACTCACAAAGTTGAAATACAAATAACACTTTCTGAAATTAAACTTACACAACTGGAATACAATTGATGCATTCTGAACTACAACTTTTCTATATGTATTTCAGAGATCGTCAGTTGAATTTCAGAAAGCGTCAATTAAAATTTAGATTAGTAAATTGTATTTCGGAAAACGTCAATTGTATTTCAGATTAGTTAATTTTATTTGGGAAAGAGTCAATTGTATTTCAGATTAGTTTATTTTATTTCAGAAAGTGTCAATTGTATTTCAGATTAGTTGATTGTAGTTCAGAAAACGTGAATTATATTTCAGAAATTGTCAGATGTAGTTCAGAAATTATCAGGTATCTACGCAGATTTTCCGAAATCAACACAAGATAGGTGTATAGGTGACTACACCTTTTCCATATGCATTTCAGAGACTGTCAGTTTAATTCCAGAAAGCGTCAATTGCAATTTAGATTACTGAATTGTATTTCGGAAAGCGTCAATTGTATTTCAGTTTATTTAATTTTATTTCGGAAAGAGTCAATTTGTATTTCAGATTAGTTAATATTATTTCGGAAAGTATCAATTGTATTTTAGATTCGTTGATTGTATTTCAGAAAACGTGAATTATATTTAACAATTTGTCAGATGTATTTCAGAAATCATCACTTGTATTTCAGATAATATTGATATAAGAAAATATTTTCCAAAATCTACACCGTTTCCATATTAGGAGATCGTCAGCTTAATTTCAGAAAGTATCAATTGAAATTAGGATTAGTAATTTGTATTTCAAAAAGCGTCAATTGTATTTCAGGTTAGTTAATTTTATTTGGGAAAGAGTCAATTGTATTTCAGATTAGTCTATTTTATTTCGGAAAGTGTCAATTGTATTTCAGATCAGTTGATTTTATATCGGAAAGTGTAAATTGTATTTCAGGTGAGTTAATTTTATTTGGGAAAGAGTCAATTGTATTTCAGATTAGTCTATTTTATTTCGGAAAGTGTCAATTGTATTTCAGATTTGTTGATTTTATATCGGAAAGCGTCAATTGTATTTCAGATTAGTTGATTGTAATTAAGAAAACCTGAATTATATTTCAGAAATTGTCAGATGTAGTTCAGAAATTATCAAGTATCTACACAGATTTTCCTTAATCAACATAAGTTAGGTGCATGGGTGACTCATTATAAATTTTATTTGATACACTATATTGATAATATCAATATCTGAAATACATTTGACGAATTCTGATATACAATTTACAATTTTTAATCTAGGTACAAATGAATAATCTGAAATCCAAATAACGATTTCTGAAATGTAAGTGACCAAAATGAAATACAAATTACTTTTTCTGAAATACAACTGACCAAACTGAAACACAAATGATGTTTTCTGACCTACAACTGACAAAGTTGAAATACAAATAACACTTTCTGAAATTGAACACACACAACTGTCACTCTCCAAAGAGTGACTTACACTCTAAACATTTTCTTTTCTGGCATGCTTGATGCTGTTATATCTAATAATAATCCTGCATTATTTGCAGCAGGTATTTCTGGTGTGACACCAGAGTCAATATTGAGACCCTCTGATCATTAACATACATACAAAATGAATAAGAACAGCAGGGAAGTTAAAATAATTTCACATCCAGACTTATTTGCTCTCAGACCAGGTACAAATGCTAATAGTTGTTCCTTGAGTTGTTCTTTTCGTCAGTTTGAATTCCCATGTCAGTCATGCGCTCAGACACTAATTTTGTAACATGAGAAAGTTCGAACACAGGAGTAATACTGCTGGATGAGTATAAATCTTGCATATATTGAACTAATTCCGTTATAACTACACCATAAACAACTTCTTCAGGATTATAGTATTCTTATCTTTGAGAATGTTCAGCAGCTAGTGAACTCGTTAGAAAGCGAGTATAGCATAGTTTGTAGCATTTGGCTTCTAATGCTACAAAATCTGTTGATGATAACTTCTTCAACACTTTTTCATCTTGTGATTGTACAGCATGACTATGAATTTTAGAACCGATACCCAGCGTGAATGCAGTCACAAGTTTGTCTTTACCTTCATCACAAAACAGACACGTTTTTCACATCTGAACAAAATTATGATGATTTTGTAAATTTTGATGTAGATGGAGTTTGGTCTCAGCAAGATGGACACTTTTTTGGTTTCTTTTCACAAGACTGTCTTTTCGCCTTTTGACTGTCATATTTGTTCTTGCAAGATTTGTAATATTTTGCTGCATGGGTTACTAGTGATTGTGAAAGACCACGTCCATCGTTCAGCTGGTCCAAATTTCTTATACCACTTGGAAGCTGACCATGTTCAGCAAAAATTGCAAGATTCTTTGGCATGATTAAATATCTTTCATGCTTCTGGATAATCAAACGCTCTTTTGAATGCTTCTAGCATAATAAACACAGGTTCCATACAAATGGAACCACCATAGCATCAACGAATTAATGTTTTCCTTTTTTGACATGAATGGGTAATTTCTTTAAAAAGCCACTCTATCATTTTCCGAAACCCGTACAAATTACATTGTTGCTATCTATAAATAACAACTTGCTGTGCAATACTTCATACATTGTTTTGACAAATTTTCAGCAACTTTTGTTTAGAAAATAGAAGTTATATAGGTACCGTTCGAATGTTTTTTTCACAAAAAAGTATACGACACATTTTCAGCCAAATATAATGGATTCCAAGTTATTTAGTACAATATTTCGTAAAAATGAAAATAAAAATCAACAATTTTAATAAAGTTGCAAGTATTTCTAGTATTATGTGTGTAAATGATGATGTGCAATATATTGTTGGAGAGCGCATCTCCTTCTGATTTATAAACAAAAATAATATAGGTTGATATCAGAATACTGCAAATACTAGAAAAATTCGAGTTATCTAGGGAAATATACAACCATGTCACAGAAAAATTGGGGGCTATATTGATTACGTCATCAACGCCGCTATAGGGCCAAAAAAAATTGTGAACCGGGCTTGTTGGACTTGTCTACCCATATACCATCTGAACCCAAAGGAGCGCAGCGGTTGCCAAAATTGAAACTTTTCTTATAATACCTATCTCACTCCACTAAATTCCCTGTCAAACATTTTCATCATAATTAGGTATTTAAGCTTACAGATTTTGAGAATTTTTCTTCAAAAAATCTTTTTGAAAAAATGAAGTCCACCTTGTATATTCGAGCTTTCGCTATGAAATGAAATAAAACGAAGTTTCCAAAAATTTTTGGCGGACATTTATTTTTAGTTGTGCGTAGTTAGCCGGAGGAAAAAAACTAAAGTCCCACTTTTTGATACTTTGCCCACAAAATTAGGAGGATTTATCGCGTGCAGTCTACCAGGAACAATCAGAAAATGTTTATAGATCAAGTAAAAGTGGTTAGAAGATTTTTTTCCGAAAAATTGACTGATCTAGTTGCGGAATATTAGCTTCTTGCCGACTTTCACTCCTTAATAATGCATTCTACGATTAATCAAAAAATTGATATGAGGTGAAATGGTATCTTATATTAACATCAGGCCTGTATTGAAATAAATTGTTTTGCTATGATTGATTGGAAAGAAAAATAAATAATATTTATATTATCTTATCTGTGACCTTCCAAAACATTGTTCTTACTAAAATCAATATCCGCACTCAAGTTTGAATTGGCTTTACTATTTTTGGAAATAAATCAAATTAATAAAAATAATAATACAAAACCTGATACTTAATTTCTTGTTTTAATACTCTGAAATAGCTTTAAAATTCTATAAGCAAATCAATTTTCAATACACTATGGAATCAATTTTTGCTTTACAAAATTTCAGTCACATATTCTATAGCCATCCTACCAACAATTCATGATTTTCCTAGCTGAAATAATTTAAAATACAATAAAGTTACTTAACGCAACAAAAAATCCCAAGAACCTACTCTCAAGTATCTGCCTTTGGAATCATGTTTCCTCAACCACAATAAAAGAGGAAAGTACTTTTTCTTCACTCAAGATCGCACTTCCTTTCAAAATAAGAAGAAATCCACAACATTCTTTATTATCTGCCAGGCCGGTACTTATAAAGAGGGGTTTTGCGGCTTGACCGCACTCCAGTCTCCGCGGGTACGACCGGTGATTAGTCTTTACTTTACGCGGTTTATTTAGGTACTGAAATGATGAAAGGGAGAGTACTGTTTGGTGTAAGTGTTAATTGTTCATGATGTGCCTTTTGGATTAAAGAAAAAAAGTGTCTAATATATGTGCTGATTTTTACAACTCAATTTGCCACACATTATGTCATACTTAACTATAATCTTCTAGGAAGTTTAAGATTTTGGAAATTACATTTTTGTTTTGTTGTTACCTGATTTTGATAGACCCCAGTATTAGCAATAATTACAATTCTGAAGCTAGTAAAATGGCTTTTTGTATTACTAGGGAGAAATGTGCATCGTGATTTTCTTAAACAAATGATAATGGTATTTGGACATTAATTTCATTAAAGCTTCTTGAGAGATAATTTAAAAATTCTAATCAGTTGATCACCTTGTGTCAAACTTACATAAATATTATTTATGTAGGGATTAAAACACTTTATCTCCTAGGAAGGCAAATTATCTACTGTTTAACTCCCTCGAATGAAGAAAAAAAATATGATTTTGTGACAAAGTTATGCAAAATATTGCACACAAGTGACTTAATTCATAAATAATTCTATCAATGTTGTCTTTTCCAGCTAATATTGTTCATTTGCACGTATTGGAATCCGATCCAATCAGCAGCAGTAAGCAGTAACGATGACCAATCAAAACTCAGCTACAACTCCATCGCGTCAACATCCAAACCCGACTTATTGAGCTACCAGCAAATCACTCACTATGGCCAAAAATATCTTCCGCAGCATGTGGCCTATCGGCAACAGTTTCAGCCGGTCAGAAGTCAACAATTGGTTCAGACTGTGCCTTACAATCATCAACCAGAGGTAAGGATTCAATATATTTGATGGCTTTAGGTGTCCAGAATAGAATCTGAATCTTGAAAAATGATTTTCCATTTGCTCTGTCAAAATCAAATGCTTCAGGCCTTGCATAAAGTATTTTTTCTCTTCGGAGTTTCTGGATAGTCTTTAGAATCTTGGTAGGTTCAGTTTTACATCTTAAACCAGTAGATTTTTGGTTTTAAGATTTTCAAAAACAACGTCTCCAAGATCTTTTGCTTTTTCAAAATACTTGATGGCTTCAAATCAAGAGCTGATAATGATAATTCAGGAATGTGTTAAAAGAACGTTCTCAGTAAGTACTACATACATATAGAAATTTTGATAACAGAAACTATTCCTGGAATATCCCAGCAATGACACCAGATTTTGATAACATCTTCATGGAACATTTTCAACACATTATAACTATTATATCCTTAGAATATTCTACGGATGTTTTTGTATTATTAGGGCCTTCAGAATCTAAAGTGATAAGCTTTGATACTCTTGAGGTCTCAAGAATTTTTTCACGACAGTCTCATAAAGATCAGTAGAGTTTTTGAGATTTTCAGTTTTGGTAAGGACCCTTAAGACATTTCATCGACTAACCACCATTCAGATTCAGAATATTCCGAGGGGTCAGTTTTTGTACACCAGATTACAGTTTATCCATGATTTTTTCTGATTACCAGTGAAATTGCCGAAGAATTCCCCTGATAATATAATCTTAAATTGTAAAGATTTTTGAAAAACAGTGCATGCGTTAGATCTAGGCTTTAATTGATTTTTTTGAGATTTACACAGTTTTCTTAAGATATCCCCCTAGTTCCTTAAAATTTCCCTTGATTTTCTTTAAATTTCCCCTAATTGCCTTGGATTTCCTCTGGATTCTCCCCAATTTTTACACCAGATTTCCCTTGGGGTTCACCTCTCTGGGTGAACCGCAGGTTAGTTGTTGTACACCCAGATTGCGGTTTCATGACCGTTTCAAACAACTATTTTAGAGGAGCCTTAACGTTAAGTATTTATTTAAAGGAACATTTTTTTCATGGGGAAAATATCATGGATGATTTCCCATGATTTCTTCTGATTAGATTACCACTGATATTACCCAAGATTTCCCTCGATAACATAACCCCAAATTATGAAGATTTTTCAAAACTCCGCATGCGTTAGATCTAGAGATTGACTGATTTCCTTAAGATTTCCCATGATTTTCTTAAGATTACCCCTGAGTTCCTTAGGTTTTCTCCTGATTTCTTCATGATTTATTCCAATTTCCTTTGATATTGCCTTAGAGTTCCTAAAATTTCCTCTTGATTTTCTCTTATTTATATACCTACAGGATTTTCCTAGTTGTACAACAAATTGCGGTTTTGGGGAAAATCATGGATGATTTCCCATGATTTCCTCTGAGTGATCAGATTACCAATGAGAATGTCCAAAATTTCCTCTGGTAAAATAACCTCAAATTATAAAGACTTTTGAAAACTGCGCATGCGTTATATCTAGAAATTTACTAATTTCCTTAAAACTTGCCTTGATTTTCTCTGAATTCTTTACGATTTCTCCTAATTGCCTTAGATTTCCCTGAATTTCCTCTCATCCTTAATTTGTACACCAGATTTCCCTTTCGCATGTCAGTTTTTGCACACCAGATTGCGGTATTAGGGAAAATCATGGATGATTTTCCCTGATTTCTTCTGATTATCAGTGAGATTGCCCAAGAGTTCCCCTTATAATTTAATCTCAAATTATAGGGATTTTTGAAAAACTGCGCATGCGTTAGATCTAGGGTTCAACTGATTTTCTTGAGATTTTCCACAGTTTTCATAAGATATCCCCCAAGTTCCTTAAGATTTCCCCTAATTTCCTTATATTTTTTTCTGATCTTTGGATTTCCCCTGATTGCCCTGGATTTCCTCTGGATTTTCCCTAATTTGTACACCACATCTTCCTTGGGGTTTACCCATCTGGGAAGCCACAGGTTAGTTGTGGTACATCAGATTGCGGTTGTAGAGGAAATCATGGATGATTTCCCATGATTTCTTCTGATAACCACAGACATTGTCCAAGATTTCCCTTGATTACATAATCTCAAATTATGAGGATTTTTGAAAACGGCGCATTCATTAGATTTAGAGATTGACTGATTTCCTTAAGATTTCCAATGTTTTCCTTAAGATTTCTCCTGATTTCCTTAGTTTTTTTCTTGATTTCTTCATGATTTCATCTGATTTCCTTTGATCGCCTTAGAGTTGCTAGAGTTCTTCTTGATTTTGCCTAATTTGTATACCGGATTTTCCTTGTACAACAAATCGCGGTTTTGAGGAAAACCATGGATGATTCACCATGATTTCCCCTGAGTTATTAGATTACCAGTGAGATTGCTCAAGATTTCCCTAGGAAAACTAACCTCAAATTATAAAGACTTTTGGAAACTGCGCATGCTACAAATTGATTAATCTCCTTAAGACTTCCCTTGATTTTCCCACGACTTTCTCTGAATTCTTTACGATTTCCCCTGATTGCTTTAGATTTCCTCTCATCCTTAATTTGTGCACCAGATTTCCCTTTCGGTAAGTTGCAGGTCAGTATTTGTACACCAGATTGTGGTATTAGGAGAAATCATGGATGATTTACCATGATTTTCTTTGAAAACCATTGAAATTTCCCAAGAGTTCTCCTGCTAACATAACCTCAAATTATAAAGATTTTTGAAAAATGCGCATGCGTTAGATCTAGGGTTTAACTGATTTTCTTGAGGTTTCTACAGTTTTCTGACGATATCTCTCGAGTTCCTCTTAAAGATTTCCTTATGATTTCCTCTGATTTCCTTAGAATTTCCCCTGATTGCCTTGGACTTCCTCTGGATTTTCTTCAATTTGTACACAACATTTCCCTTGGGGTTTACCTTCCTGGGTAATCCGGCAGGTTAGTTGTTGAACACCAGATTTCGATTTAAGAGGAAATGAAATCATGGTTGATTTTCCATGCGCAGATTGCCCAAGATTTCCCCTAATAACATAACCTCAAATTATGAAGATTCTTGGAAATTGTGCCTGCGTTAGATTTACAGATTGACTGATTTCCTTGAGATTTCTCATGATTTCCTAAGATTTCCCCTGAGTTCCTTAGGTTTTCCTCTGATTTCTTCATGATTTTTTCTGAGTTCCTTTAATTGCCTTCGAGTTCCTGAAATTTCTTCTTGATTTTCCCTAATTTGATAATTAGTTTTTGTACAAAAAATTGCGGTTTTGGGGGAAACCATTTCCCATAATTTTCCCTGAGTTATCAGATTACCAGTGAAATGGCTTAAGATTTCCCCTGGTAAAATAACTTCAAACTATGAAGATTTTTGAAAACTGCGCATGCGCTAGATCTAGAGATTGACTGAGTTCCTTAAGATTTCCCATAATTTCCTTAGACGTTCCACTAAGTTCCTTAAGATTTCTTTTCATTTCCTCATGATTTCTTCTGATTTCCTTATGATTTCCCTCTATTGCTCTAAATTTCCTCTTGATTTTCCCTAATTTTATACCAGATTTCCCTTGCGATTTAAATCGCACATCAGGTTTTCACCAGATTGCGGTTTTAGGGGAAATCGTGGATGATTTCTCATGATTTCTTCTGATTAACAGTGAGATTGCCCAAGATTTTCCCTTATAAAATAACCTTAAATTATAAAGATTTTTGAAAACTGCGCATGCTAGAAACTGAGTCATTTCCTAAAGATTTACTATAATTTTCTTAAGATTTTCACTAACTTCCTTAAGATTTCCCTTGATTTCCTTATGATTTCCCCTGATTGCCTTAGATTTTCTATTGATTTCTCCTAGTTTGTACATACACCAGATTCTCTCTGGAATATTCTGACATCGAAAATATCGAGTACCTATTCGAATAAATCCTTGAACGAGTACCTACTCGAATATTAAAATTTGAAAAATTCCCAATTTGGAGTGGCATTCATAAAGTGTTTCTACCGCATTTCTGTTTTCAGCCCACCTCAAAACCGTACCACGTTGCCAAACCTCAAAACCAAGTAGCAATGGTAATTATAGCTCAGCCAGCTTACATTCCAGCTAGTATGTTACAGCACGACAACGTCGCTCAACAGATTCTACAGTACTTTCATGGAGGGAGTTTTCAATCAAGGTACAGTTTACACTAATATATTTAATTATTAGTTATTAAAAATAAAATTCGTGCAACTCGTTACAATAAAGATGTTTATTAATAAAAAAATAAATAACTACGTTTACACGAGCGTAAAAAATTACAATAAGCCGTTCTAAGGAAGGAAAGTGTAAGTTTTTAATGAAAAAATTATTGCAATTTCCTCTTGAAACCGGCCTATTACGCTTAGATAAATTTAATAATTATTGTCATAAAAGCTTTTATAAACAAGAAACTATTTAAAGTAAAAGTCATGATATACTTAATCATGTTGCCGTCCGCTGTAATTTTATATTAATTTGCGGAAACAAAATTTGTTGTTTGAAAATGTTTTTTATCTACTAATAGTGCAATGTATTTTTTTTAGATACCAGTACCAACCACTACAGCATCAATCCTACCAACAGGCACAACCATCATACACTCACTACATGCAGTACCAACCCAAGCAATTCGACTTCCAACCAAAACAACTAGATTACCATCAAAAACAGCTAGATTTTCAACCAAAACAACCAGAATATCAGTCACAATTCCAACCAAAACAATCAGATTACCAACAAAAACAACCAGATTACCAACCGCAATACCAACAAGAAGCTCTACCAACTCCCCAAGCTCTAGTTTCCCAAAACCAAGACACCGTCGACCATCAACAACCTACTGAAGACATAACAAGGCTCGCCCAACAGGCCGCCCATCATTTTCTACAAAACGGTGGACTCGGTGCCCAATCCAGAACAGCGCCAGCTATAATTACAGGCTTGGAACTGTTCCCGGCTGAGCAGCAGGAAAAAATCAAGGCGCAGCTGAGCGAACATTTCGGGTCGCCGTTGAAACGTTTGAATTTCGATTCGGGCGATTTGCAACAGTTGCATCAGCCTCAGCAAAATAGCTACAGGAAGTTTTATCAGCAGCAGGAGCGCAAGGAAAGGTTCAGGCCTAGTGTTGAGGTTAAGGACGGGGAGATTACGGTTGGGAGAGGGAAAATGTAGAACTTTTGTACAAATCAATGAAGTTACCTTGTATCGTTCTCATCTTTTTGAAACCCAAACTCTGTGATGTCTTTTGTAAATAGTTTTTTTCTGATGGTTTCTGTATTTATTTTTTTGTTATATTTGTTAATGTTTTTTTAATGGAAAATAAATATTTCCAGTTATTGTTTCTGGTTCATTTTTCTTTGATGATTTGCTGTCTAATTTGCTCACTAATAACTGCAGCAAATAAGAAAAAAAAAGTTAATCTCAGTTGGGTATTGTTGGAAGTAAAAGTTTAATAACGAATGTAGTACTTGATTTAAAAGCTGGCAAAAAAATATTAATAACAATCTCCTTTTTAATCCCTTTCACTCTCCTTTAATGTGTATTATGGTGCACCTGAATAGTACCAGACAAAAGTACCTTTCTCTATTTGTTTTGTTAATTTTACTTTTATTTGTTGAGGGGTCCAGCTAATAATTTTTGAATACGACCACTCATGGGATCGGAGTCGTAAGTTATAAGCCTTAAAAGCAGTGGCGGATCCAGGATTTTCTTCAGAGGGTGCGCAGGTTACAATGATTTTTTGAACATATATCAGATTTTATGAAATTGGAACTTTCAATGAGTGGTTCATTTTTTTGCTCAGAGATTACCCTTCCCTTCCCTATATTGAAAGTGTCCATATTGAATCACTCTGTACATATCAAAAAACGAAAAATAATAAAAATACCAATTCAAAATAAAAATAAAACAAATTTATCTGATTGAAGCAGAACGATAAATTACATAGGTAATCAATGGTGTCAGCACTGTCAGCATGGAAAAATTTTCTATAACATTTTTTTTTATAAAATTTTATTGGAAACTTCTTCTTCACCCCTGTATCCGCCACTGCTCAGAACAAGATCAAATACATGGTAGCTACCTTATAATTTAGATTTTGGGAAATTTTAAAAGGTCATACCTTTTTTTCTATTATAGATAGAAAGCTGAAATTTTCAGCGATTCTTATCTCAGTAGAGGGCTACAATCCCTGGAAATTTCAGCTTATTTGGACGTATAGTTCCAGAAATAAAATCGTGTTAAGCAATTTGGGATGAATTATCAATTTTTCAATTTTTCTGAGTGCCTTTTTTCATAGAATCCGGATCCAAATCTCAGAATAATTTAGTGTTTGCAGTTTGGGGGGGTCCCAAAGGACTATTCAGATACAAAATCTCAACAAAGAAAAAATTGAAATTTCCTTGTTTCAGTACTGAGGTCTGACCTTATGATTTAGATTTTGGAAAACTTTGAAAGATCATAACTTTTTTTTCTGTTATGGATAGAAAACTGAAATTTTCAGCGATTCTCATCTGAGTAGAGGACTACAATCTCTGAAAATTTCAGCTTCTTTGGACTTGTAGTTCCAGAAATAAAATCATGTTAAGTAATTTGGGATGATTTATCAATTTTTCAATTTTTCTGAGTGCCTTTTTTCATAGAATCCGGCTTTAAATTTCAGAATAATTTAGTGTAAGGAGTTTGGGAGGTCCCAAAGGATCATTAAGGCACAAAATCACGACAAAAAAAATTGAAATTTCATTGTTTCAGTACTGAGGCCTGACCTTATGATTTAGATTTTGGAAAACTTTGAAAGGTCATAATTTTTTTTCTAATATAGATAAAAAGCTGAAATCTTCAGTGATTCTTATCCCACTAGAGTTGTACAATCCTTCAAAATTCCAGCTCATTTGGACCTATAGTTCCAGAAATGCAATCGTGTTAAGCAATTTAGGATGGTTTATCATTTTTTCAATTTTTCTGAGTACCTTTTTGTATAGAATTCGGCTCCAAATCTTAGAATAATGTAGCTTATGGAATTTGGGGGGTCTCAAAGGACCATTAAGACACAAAATCTCAACAAAAAAAATTTGAATTGGATCATTTTAGTACCTACTGAGAGCTATCTCAGTGCTAAAAAGAAATGAAATTTTATCGTTGTAGTACTGAGGTTGCTAACTACCTTATGACTCAGATTTTGGAAAACTTTGGAGGTTATAACTTTTTTTCGATTATAGATAGAAAGCTGAAATTTTCAGCGAATCTTATTCCAGTAGAGGACTACAATCCCTGAAAATTTTAACTCATTTGGACTTCTAGCTCCTGAGATAAAATCGTGTTAAGCAATTTGCGGTGATTTTATGATTGTATCTGAAAAAATTGAATCAAAAGCCAATTATAATCTAAATCTGGATTATTTTGGAATCCTGCATTTCCCTTAACCAGCGAATCAAGAGCTAGTAGGTAATAATCAATGAACAATTATTGGTTCTTGATTCACTGGATAATTTTTCTAGAAGCTTCCAAAAGCCGTTATTAATATAATTTGAATTCGATTACCACTAGCAAAATAATCCAGCAGAAAACACAAAAAAAAACTCATTTCGTAATACAAATTTTTAATAAAGAAATAAACAATAATCAATAAATAACAACAGCACAAACAAACAAACAACTGGCCACTACTCTCTCATCTTCAAAAATCAGTACTTTCCTTGTTGCCTCAAGTACTGAAGCTGCACTCTTGAAGGCACATAAGAATCCAACAAACTCTTCGGATGTCTTTTTGTCAAAATTTCGTCTGGCTGAGAGTAGCGATGGCTGTGATAGTCAGCAGTACCCTTTGCCTGATACGTAGCGTATTTTGCAACAGTACTTGTTACCGATGGCGATGAGTACTTTTCATTAGTTGTAGGGATGGAATTGCTAACATACGACGGCACGTATAAGTACTGAACACCTTTAGGGTCTATGACAGACTCGACAGAACTAGATGGCGCTTGGTACTGTTGCACGTAGTAGAACTGCTGAGGCTGTTGACCGATTGAATTGTCAGTGACGTATTGGACGTTGTTTTCGTACTGGCCGTAATCGGATGGTTGCTGACTTATATATTGATCAGGTTGTTGCTGAACAGTTTCTTGCTGACTCAAATATTGTCCAGGTTGTTGTTGATTAATGTACTCAACCGTTTGGTGCTGACTCAAATATTGTCCAGGTTGTTGCTGATTATAATACTCAATAGTTTGTTGTGGCTGTTGCTGACTCAACAAATATCTAGATTGTTGCTGACCCAAAAACTGTTCTTGGTTCACATATTGCACGGTTTGTTGAGGTTGCTGATTCAAGTAGGCAGAATTTTTATACTGCAGCTGTGGTCGTTTCACTTGATAGTTGGCTTGAGTGTACTGGTATTTCGGTTTCACAGCTGCATATGAAGAAGCGGAGCGTTGAGGTACGAAACCGAATTTCGTCGGTGAAGATACTGCTGAGATGCTGGCCTAAAAAAAAAAATCATCAAAGTTGGCTGAATTTATGAGCTGAGTCAGCTTACTTTTGGTGTGTAACTGGGTTGTTTTGGGCTGTAATCTCTCTCAATGTCTTCTAAGCTGGTTCTTTGGCCACCCGCCGCTGAAGCTGAGTTTGCCAAGACTAAAAGGCAGCTGAGTAGAGGGAGTAATTTCGACTGAAATAAAAACAAATTAATGCACAGTTGAAAGTTGCTAAATGATTCAGCATATCATACAATAAAAATCTAATTGTTTTGTTCCTGCCCAGGGAGAAAGTAAAAGTCCATTAAGATGGGTGTTACACATACTGGACAATCTTTGAAGCATGCAATTTTAAGTAATAAGTGGTCAATATCGTTTCGGAAGCGTATGAAAGAAGTGCTTATTCGTGTGAAACATCGCATACAAGGAAAGTAATTGTTTTTAGTCTAATGAGTAATGGATTTTACTTAGGTTTGCAATAAGCACTTTAACCTCGTGCAATATAGATTATCTTTTCATGAACCGATACTTTTTGTAGGTAGATATTTGAGAAAAAAGTAAATAAGGATATGAGGCGTATAGTGTTGTGTTATATGTAATATTTGTTTATTACAGACTCTTGATTTGTTCCTTCATTCATAATGAATCAACATAAATGAGAAACAGGATATTGAAATAATACAAAATGGATATGCTAAGGAATTATTAATGAGTGATTCAAATGTACTAGTAGCCTGGAAAAATCTCAAATAGGCTACTTCCTTAAAGTACAAGAATTAAATGCAAATGACTTTGAGAAATATTTCACTATAAAGGCTCACAAAGTTATTGGAATATTTATACATATTTTGGTTCCATTACAAAAAAAAAAGATTCTCTGGATTTGAAGGTGTAGATAATAATGAATAAACTGAATCTTGGCTGCAAAATTAGTGTACACCATATAACATAAAAATATTTTTCACGAATAAATTAGTGAAAGTCTATTTATTGTTCCGCTCTGGCGATCGGTGCGGGACACTTTTTAAACGGGTACTGCAGTTGGTACCTTTTTTTGGTTGGTTGCACTTTTTTTTTTGTTCACAATGCTAATCGGACACGCCATCTGGGTTTTCGTGTTTTGTTAACGCCGGATCAACGTTTTGTACAGGGGTAATTGAATTATCACGATCTTTGAGGAGTTTTTTTGCTTCTATTTAAATTTACTTAAACAAGCAATTACTCAAACAAACAGAAAAAAAAATTAAATTCCTCTACACTCTACTTAATATACTTTTGTATTTGACAAACACTGTAGATTGTACAAAAAAAAAAAGAAAAATTCTTACCATCTTGAAGCACCAGCGCAAGTTAAATCCAAACAGGAAAAAAAGAATTAGAAGAACCAAACAAAACAAGTGCACGAGACCAATTGGCGATCTAAAAGTGTAAAGCACCCAATTTAAAGGAGCTTTCACAACAAGGTGAAGGTGTACGGAACCCTACCTATTACCAAAGTCTATTATCAGCTACCACGGTACCATCGCGAAGCTCTAGTGGTACAGAAAAAAAAATCGCCCTGGTATGATGTCATTGGTACCACAATCTATACGGCGTGCCGGAATAACTATTAGAAATTAATGGGGCTATTTTTTTTGTCTTTGGAAATTGATGGTACTACTATATTTTAATGAAATTAAGTGATTTAGGTGTTATATAAAAGGATCGATTTATTGATTTTATAAGGAAAGTACTATGTAGGTAGGTACCAGGCAGTAGCAAACCAGTATTTCACAATATAATTTAGAAAAATGTTCACTCTACCTATCTTTCAATTTTTTTCTCCTTAGCTCATTTTGTTTCCTTTTCACTCTATTTCTTTTTCTGTTTTCTCTCCATTTCTCATGTTTTTTTATATAAATCTTTGTT